TTTTTTTTGTTGTCTCTTTTATCCAACCCATATTTGAGTGCCTTCTCTGTGCCTTGAAATGCACAAAGGGTAATGAATAACCAAGACAGACATGGTCACGGTACTATGTATTAGAGAAAAAGAGAGACACGTACAGGATAATGAATAAATACTCACACATTTGCCGAGTCCCGTACAGGATGTGGGGTTCCTTTACATACTGGGATCAGCCAGGGCCTCCCTGCGATGTGATCATTTGAGCTGAGACTGAGAAATGAGGAGGCAAGAACTTTCTAGGTAGAAGGAACATCATGCAGACAGGCCTTGACGTGTAGAAGAGCTTGAGGTCTCGAAACACTAGATGTAACAGTGTCCAGTATAGTGACTGGGGGAGAAAGTGGCATGAGATGAGGCTAGAGAATCTGGCAGGAGCCAGACAAACCAGACTGGACTTGGCTGGCTGTGGATTTTATCCCAAGTGCAGTGGGAACCAGCAAGGCTTAGAGCGTGGGACTGACATTTAAGTGACTGGGTGTTAAGAAGGCTTTAATGGACATTGAAAATATTTATATGAAATTCTTTGACTTTTTTATGCATTCATTTGTTTATTGCCCAAATAGTGTGCAACAGCAATGTTCTAGATGCTGGGGAAGAAGCAATAAATAAAAAGAATCCTCTACATTCACGGAGCTTATATCCTGATATAAATCCTACAATATTTTTGGGTGGAATCAATGATCCACCTTCTGGGAATGTACTACCATGGGTTGTTGAGATTTTGTTTTGTCTCCAATTTGCTCTGTTCCAGAGGGGGCTGCCTAAATATTTGGGAGTTTCCGTGTCTATAGCAGCTTTTATTCTGAACACTTAGGAAATTGAGGAACTGAATAAATTATATATTTTTAAATTTCACAAAATATCTAGAGTGTTGTATTCTCTATATTGTATGTTGTATGCTTCCTAGTATTCTAAGCTCTTTATAAATATTAACATTGAAGTTTTATTATAGGTCTTTGTAGTAGGTAGTATTATTATCTCTGTTTTACAAATGAGGCCACTAAGCGACATGCCCCAGGTACCCCGTTATCAAGAATGAAGACTGGGATTGGAGCTGAGGCACTTAGCCACTGCCTGGCCACTTTCAGATATAAATCATAAAACAGTCTTTTTTAAAGATCTAAAACACTTCTTTTTATCCCTTTTGCATTTGGGATTTCTTTGAAAGTTTAGGATTATTTACAGCCAGATTTGGTGACCGTGAAGGGAGTCTGTGCCCTCTGTTACTCTGGCTCCCATTCTGTGGGTGCCCCCTCCCCTTTTCCTTCACAATTCTTTTCATATTGAATTATGTTTTTAACTTAATTGGTGTAAATGGAATGTGTTTATTCTTATTTTATTTAATTATGTTTTTCTTTTGGTCCTGCTAGACTTTCTGTAAGTTCCCCCCCTTGAAGCAAAGAATTGACCAGTAGGCACATTTGACAAATAGGAAAAAGTGTTTGGTTGATTGCAAATTCTAAAACCGGCTTTCTTGAAATTGGCAATGTTTCCCCCCCCCCCGCCTTTGTGGGACTGCATAATAGTTTGATTTAGCCGTTTATAAATGTTTAATTGTATTCTAAACAATAGGATAACCGAACAATGGGCCATAATGTATTGGAATAATAAAACTGGGAGTAATACTATTTAAAACTGAGCGTATTCAATATATGTGTCCCTTGAGGGGAAAGTCTTTAAAAAGCCACTGTGGGTTCTGTTTTTAGGCAGGTAGCACCAGGACATTTCTGCTGGATAGGGCCTCTACATCTCAGGGGTCTTCTGATTATTTAAGGTTAGATCATTTATATTCCCTCAGAACCCTCAAGGAGGTTCTGGCCCCTTTTTTGGGGAAATGTTCTGTATTCTTCAGTTTTCAATATCTAATCACTCTCACCCTTCATTCTATCTATTTCGAATCCTCACCACACCTCCCATCTGAGCCTTTTTCTGTCTGTGTAAAATATTTCCTTAAGGCTGTGAAGCTACTTCTGAAATCCTGATTCTTCTGTGAAACTTTCCTCATTTAGTTAAAAGAGAAATCTGGCCCCATCTTTATTTCTGCTTATTACAAAGGGATGAAGTTTAATGAGCATCCATTGTGCATGGTTTCTTCCCTTTAGTTTTAATGGATTAGTTTATTCTGCACATGAAAGCTAAAACATGTTTTATGTTTGTATTTTGAGCCATGAACTTGCTTGGCACAGGGAACTTGAATTTCAGTTCTGTTGGTCACTGGGCCTTGTTTATTTTGTTTAGGAAAGAGTTTATCACATGTGGATAAATATGAAATTGAATGTTATTAGGTTTATGTTGGTTTGCCAGAGCTGCCATAACCAAGTGCTAGAGACTGGGTGGCTGAAACGACAGAAATGTATTTTCTTGCAGTTCTGGAGGCCAGAAGTCCAAGATCATAGTGTCGGCACGGTTGGTTTCTCCTGAGGCCTCTCTCCTTGGCTTGTGATGGCCGTCTTCGTCCTGCGTCTTCACATGGGCCTTCCCTCTCTGTATGTCTCTTTTTCTTATAAGGACATCAGCCATATTGGATTCGGCTCCACCCCTATGACCTCATTTCAATTTAATCTTCTCATTAAAGATGCTACTCCCCAAAAGTCATGTTCTGAGCTACTGGGGGTTAGGACGTCAACACTTGAATCTTGGGGAGACACAATTCAGCCATAACAAGGCTTAAAGGTAGACAAGGGAAGCCGCCATCCTGAGGGCGAGGAGAGTGAAGGGGATTGTTTGTGATCTGGCTCAGAGCTGCCTACATGTTGTAGGGTAAAAGTCACAGTGATTAGTCTTTTGTCCATACTTGCCCAATTTTTTGGACTCAATGAGATCTGAAGTACCTTCTAAATACCTCCAAGATTCTATGATTCTGTTTTAATAACTTTTGTAATTAGACCTTACTGCTTGTTTAAGGAGATGCTTGGAGAGGCATTTTTATAATCCTGTGTTTGCCGGGTAGGATGCAAAAAAGCAGGAGGCTATAAAAATCCTTCACTTGGCATTTTGCAAACTCCATGAATGTGGACAAGTTATGTAGCCCTAATTCAGTCATCTATGAAGTGGGAATAAAGTTGGCTCTTGGATGTAGTCACTGTTACCTGCTGCAGGTAGATACTGCCCCTCTGCAGATGTCTGGGTGGCTCCGGGTGCTGAGACCCAGCCCCTGCAGCCCAAGTGGGGCATCGCTGTCAATATGTGCTGACTTGTGTGGCCTCTAGTGCCTGCCTGACTCTTATGCCATAGAATCCACTTGTGGATCAAGGCCATCAAAGTGGAGCTGGTGTTTTTTTTAAAGATTTTTATTGGGGAATTGGGGGGATGGGAACAGTGCTGGGGAATTGGAGGAAAGGGAACAGACAAGTTGCTGTCGTTTTGTTCTTCAGTCTAGTTGTGGAGGACGTTGCTTCACTGGCCCAAGTTGGCACCATCATTGCGCTCTTCCCAGGCAAGGCAGATCAGTCGCCGGCTTCTGGACGGCCACAGTGGAGCTGGTTTTATATCAATGTCCCCAACCTTGCTTGCTATGTGTGTGACAGAGCCCCTCTGCTAGACAGATGTCACTTCAGGGAAGATGAGTTGGTTCCAACTCATCTGGTTACCATAAAATTAATTATTTCATACCTCCTCTTCCTATATTTAATAGCCCCAAATGGTTATCAGGAAATTGCTCCTCTTCCTATATCTTACCAGGAAGCAAATGGAAACGTTTGTGAGGCAGAGATGTTGTTTAGCCTAGCGTCAGATTTTAAGAACCGTAGACGTTAGTATTGCTAGAAGAGCTAGACTTGTGTCTACTTTTCCTAGTCCAGAGAGAACCCACGTAGCAGAGCTTTTGTGAGGCGTAAACGGAGAGCATGTGTGTGTGTGTGTGTGTGTGTGTGTGTGTGTGTAGGTGGGGAGGAGACAGCAGCATGCCTTCTATATACATTGTTCTAGTTAAATTGAGGTTTTATCCTTTGTGTTGGGATTGAATTTGTATAAATCTAGTCATTTAGAACACTATAATGGCTTTTATTATTAGATGTCCATAGTTCAATTAATTTAGATAAAATTTTATTCCAGCAAAACCATTAAAACAAGTTGGCCAGAGAGTTCCCTGTACAGGAATACAGATTCCTAAGTTCTCTGTGGCTTTCTTATTTTAATCATTGTGTAAGAACACCAGAATACAACACTATTGGTGGTAGTATGTGGCCTGGAAAACTTCCTACAAGCTAACCCATTTAACGTTGCCGTGCTCTGGTATTGCTCCTGGTACCTTGTTTAGGTTCTGTGTTCATCAGAAGTTTCTCAGTTGCAAGGGACAGGCATGTAAGGCATTATTTGGGCATTATTTTTTTTCTCTCTCAAATGGATTTATATCCAGAAAACTGATCAGAAAAATGATGGCCAGCATCCCCAAGTTTGTCCCCTTGTGACTTCCAGTTGGAAAGGAAGAGCCTCTGTCTTCCTATGTCCATATATCAAATATCAAGAAGATTTTAATTGGTTCTGCTTGAGTCACACGGTCAACTCAGAACCTAATACTGGCTGGTAGATAAAATACTGGTACAACCACTGTGGCACACAGCATCTTGATGGTAGGCCCACTGGGATCACATGGGATGGGAGAGGGACAGTGTCCCAAAGGAAAAGTTGCTTAGCTAACAGTCAAAAATATGTCTCGGACAGATAACCAGCATTTCAAGTCCACAGGGGTTTAGTGTTTATTCTTTTAGCTGAAAGGGAATGGGAAGGTAACGGTCACAAAGCTGCCGGATCCATGTGGAAATGTTAAGCTGCACATTTAAAATCTGTTTGAGGTGAGAAGATGAGGACACACTTCATTGATGTCCATCAGGTGGGGTACACGTTATACAGACAGTCAAAAGAGTGAAGCACAATTGCTGATTTCCTAGATTGATTGAAATGTGGGTAGTGTTTTGAGTCAAGGAACAAAATGACAATAATGGCCTCTTTTGCTTTTTTGGTAGGGTTAGATGATTGCCTGCAGCAGTATGTCCACAAGTTTGAACGGGAGAAGATAAATGGAGAGAAGCTGCTGCAGATTTCCCACCAGGATCTTGAGTTGCTGGGCATCACACGGATTGGACACCAGGAACTTGTGTTGGAGGCCGTCGACCTTCTCTGTGCACTGGTTAGTTCAGGAGAAGGCGATCTGTACTGTGATGACGTGCTTGGGAACCTTTTCTCTTCAATCTTCATTGTTTGCAGTTTAGCCTATCATCGTTTTCTTAACGATCCATTGAAGTGAGCTGACGAGAGCATAAGAAGGGAAGAAATCATTTTCTAGATTAAGAGTTGGCAAACTGTGGCCTGGGGTTAAACCTGGCCCACTGTCTGTGTAAATAAAGTTTTATTGGGACACAGCCATGCCCATTCATTTACGTGTTGTCTGTGGCTGCTTTTTGCCACAGTGGCAGAATTGAGTAGTTTGTAACAGGGACCTATGGTCCCCTAAAGCCTAAAATGCTATCTTGCCCTTTATGGTAAAAGTTTGCCTCTTATGGATAAAGTCTGTATTAGTCTTCTTATCTTCTATAAAAAAGTAAAAAGGTGGAGATAGTTCTGAATGAAAATATCCTCTAAATTGAGATGAGAAATGGGTTCTGATTTTCATGTCTGTTTTTGTTACTATAAAAAGCGTTTTTATGTTTCACAGATATTTGTGATATTTAAATAACTGATGCTTGTGGTTGGAATAAGCAACCTATGAAAGGGTAGCTAGATGGGAAAAAAATGTCAACTCAGTTCCATTTCGCAGATGATTGAGCTTTGGCTTGACCGTGACTGAGTGGAATCCGCCAGATTCTGACTTGTGTGTTTGCACCTGTGGTTGTGGGGGCAGCTCTTGGAGGTGTTGGCTAAAGAACACCTGTAAAAGCATTGTGTTTATAAACTGGTTGGCATAGGGTAGGATCCACGTCTGCCTGTCACGGTGCCATGCTAAGGATGGAGTTTCCTAACCTGTCAGGATTTGGACGGACTGGGCAGCATTCAAGCTGGGTTAGTAACGCCGTGAACCTGATCCAGGGGTCTAGACAATACATCACTGAGAATGGTGGGAAAGAATGCGCTCCGATGATTTTGCCATCGCTGGTCTGCGTGCCATTGACTGTCTAACACTTGCTGCATTGTGCGTGTTCTTTTTCTTAAAATGGACAGAGCCTTGTCTTTGGCTCTGAGATGTGCCGCTGTTGTTTAGGAAAGTAATGGGGAAATTATTTGTGGTTGATAAATGAGCTGCCACAGGGGAGACGCCGTGGCCAAGTGGTGTGAGCGCTGGCCCGGGAGGCAGGCTTTCTGCGTTCTCATCCTGGCTCTGCTACCCATGTCTCGCTCTGCGACCTCCAGGCCAATGGTGGTGTCTGTTTCCCTCATCTGCACAGGAACGCTCCCCTGGAAGTGGCTGGGTACTAGCGTGCAAGTGTGTTTCATGGCCCAGAAGCTGTCTAAGAGTCCTGTGCATACTTAAAACTGTATGCTTTTTTGTACAGTGGAACGCATTTGAGTGTACTTTTATCATGCTCTCTGGGAAAAATGCCTTTCAGTCTTTTCTGCTAATTTGAATCGTCTCTTTCAACTTGGTGGTAGGACTCTGAGGACAGGTAAATCACTTTGAAATTCACAATAGGTGAGGAGGAAGGATGGCCTAGAGGCACGCTGTGCACAGCTAGTGGGGTAATACACGTAACAGCTGCCTCTCTTTGCTTTCCCCTTCCCTACCTCTTAAAATATTAGACTAAAATGAACAAAGCTGGACAAACGCCAAAGCCTAAAGCTGTGTTTTATCTCCTACAATTTCCTTCTCATTTCCTTTGTAGACAAAGTTTTGACCTCAGGCTCATTCTGGACATGCTTTGTGCAGCCGAGTGCCAGTGAATGCATCTGACAGGAGGGTCTGGGGAGGGTTTGCAAACAAATGCGCCTTTTCTGGGCTGGGGAGGACTTTGGAGAGTTTTACTAAAATCTCTCTTAGTCTTGATATCATTTCCTTTTCAAATATTCTTATTATAACGCATATATTAATGACACTCTCTCTTTGATCAACTTAGATCATATAAATCTTTGTATATATAAATTGGTGGTTTTTCGTTTTTTGGGGGATAATTTTTTTGCATTGAACCATCCCCTGGGTAGTAAATGTGTATTGCAGTTGGCCCTGGTGTCATAAAAGGGGTTTTTATGTAAACTGAGTTTAGCGGATGTTGATTTTATGATGGACAGGAAATGAATAGTGTTAGAAGTCAGGAAGGGGGAGGAAAAAACAAAACTATTGGAAAGTTTTGGAAAGAAAAGGGCAGATAGATGGATAGGAGCCTGTAAGCGGCGCTGGCTTTTGGTTAAGATTCCAAAACCACTGAGCAATGGGCCACAGATAGCTGGTTGTACCTGGGTAGAGAGCAAGGAGAGAAACTTCCTTTTGTGAATGTTGACTTTGGATGGCTGGAGTGGCTTAGGACAGTGACTTGTATGATGAAGCAGAATGAAGACCGCTTCCCAGGACAGGATTCAGAGTCTGAGCCCAGTTTTTCTCCTTCTATCTCTCGGGCAGAGGCCAGCTGGGACAGACTCGAGGGTTGTTCTTTCTAGGAGGAAAGCTATCAGCCACATGGGACTATTGGAATTAAAATGAAACACAATTTAGTTCCTCAGTCACCGTAGCTACATTTCAAGTGTCCAGTAGCTACATTTCAAGTGTCCAGTAGCTACTGTGGCTGCTGACTTCCATATTAGGACAGTGCAGATAGAGAATGTGTTCATCAGGGCAGAAAGTTCTGTGGAATAGCATCGGTCTAGACCAGGGGTCGGCACACTTTTGAGACGGAAGAGCCAACCCTGTCCCTCACAACAATTTAAAAGTTATTCGAGAGCCATAAAACAAATGAAATCACCATTATGTGAATAATGCCCTATAAAAATTTTATAAATGAAACTATGATAGTTTTATTTTCATTTTCAATTTTACTTCGGAGCCACATATACGTACCCAAAGAGCCACATGTGGCTCGCCAGCCGCAGTGTGCCGACCCCTGGTCTAGGGGCTGTGACTGAGAGTGAGGAAGTATAATTGTAACCCATTTTCTTTGCCAACTGAACCAGACCCTAGTTACCTGAAGACCAAGGCAGGGAGAGATGTGTTTTTTCAGGTTGAAGTAGGCTCAGAAAGTGAACAAGGTTGAACCAGGATACGTGTTAAGTGATGCTACCTCAGTGTGTGATTAAATGAAATACCTGTAGTGTATCTACCTGCCCAGGGTACTTCTGCACACTCTGTAACCCTAAGAGTATTCACTGTTCATCATTACCCACTTGGCAAGTCATTAAAACTGGTTATCCTTTTTTTATGGGGAGAAATCATGCAGGGGGAGAAATCATGCAGGGGGAGTAATCTTTGCTTGCAATTTGTGTTTAACTTGATCTTGCTTCTGAGCTTATTAAATGCCTTTAGGAAAACTGAAATGTATTTCTTAGGTTGCAACTTAATTGGCCCAAGTCCATAAGATGGTTTTGATTGTGTGTCTCTGATATTCCTTAATTGCATGTATTAGATCATGACCAGAGTTAGGAGGAATGGGAAGAGAAGGTAGAAGCTGTGAAAGATTGGTCCCTGGCTAAAATGTGTGTAATTTTAGGCACCAGAACAGTGCGAATCTGTGTTTCCTCTTTTCCTGTCTCGTGTGTTGTTTCTCTACCAGACCAGGAAATGACCCCTGATGGCTGACTTCTCATGAAGTGAGAGCGCGGTGCGGTGGAAAATTTTTCGGATGTATGTAGATTTTTGGAGACTCACCTTCATTTCTTACCTAGCTTGTATTTCCTTGATACCTTATCCTAAAGCCATTTCTGAAGGAGACAAGTTTTAGGGAAAAGATTAGTGAAAATAATCAAATGTGGTCTGAGAAATTATTTGTTTTCTGTCTTTCATTGTGGGGCACTTAAGTCACTAATCCTTTCCTGATTATGTTGCTGAGTAGAGGTTTATTTGAGCTAATATAATCAGTTTCTTATTCCCTTGTTGTTGTGGAATGGGGTGGAAGGGGAAGGAATTATCCTTCCTTACTTTGTTCCTTCCTTCCTCCTGTTAAAAATCATTCTTTACTCGAGTTATATCGATCCATCCTTCTAGTCCCATGATTTGTTTTGGGGGAAAAAATAAAAAGAATCAGAGCAAATTGAGTGGAAATGGAAAGAACTAGTTAATAAGAAACTACACTCCCCTTTATTTTAAAATTAAAAGTGGTAGCTTTGTAGGAGATTGAGGTTTAAAAGTTCTTGCCACACTGACATGCAGGTAATCCTATTTGAGTTCAAGAAGTAAATGTGTATAGCAGTGGAAGTTCTGAGTAATTTATGGTGATGTTGACTAGCTAGAAAGCTGACTTTCCTGCTTTGAGCTCAGAACTCTTGATATAAGTCAGCAGGCTGAGTGATACTGAAAGAGGGACAATTCCCTTTAATCATAGCACCAGTCCTTGAGAGCGAGCCGTGTCATGTGACCCATTATCCATTCACTCATGAGTCTTTGATTCTCTGCACTGAAAAAGCCACGATGAAAATCCATTTTGTATTTTTGTCTTCTCTATTGAAGGACAATATCATATTTTAATCTTGAAAAAATGACAGGGAGAAAAATGAATGAATATGAGGTTTAGATGGAACATGCACATACAGATCACTTCTTTTTATTATGAAATTCACAGGTTTTTTTAAAGCTTGCAGAAGACATTTTTCAGTTAATGGATCTGGGAAGCGTTTTTCTTTTTTTTAATGTTTATATTTACTTAACTCTTGAAGAAATGTCTATCTAAAATTTTTTAGAAAAACTTTTTTAGTATGCTAGGAAGCAACATCAGTGTAAACTTCCAATAAGATCTAGTTAAAGTTAGATTTGTTTTTATGAAGGTTCAAGTCTTGTTATTGTTATTACTTACCTAACGTTGTTCATCTTGCCCCGCCCACCCAGAAAAGTTCTCAGGAACTCCCTGGTATATCCCCGGGATATTCATATTTACCTTTCAGGTTAATATGCTTTATAGATCTTGATTTTGGGACATTGCTCACCCTCCCTGGGGAGTGATAGGAGGGGCTGTAAGAAAGGAGGGGTTGAGGGACAGGTTAGATGCAGGGGACAAAGCAGTGCCTAGAGCTAAACATGGCCTACTGGCCTTTCAGAAGTGAGGTCTGGGTGGCGAAAACCAGCTGAAAGAAGCTTCCAACGCTTCAGAGGGCGCGGAGCGTCAGCGTGGAATTTGTGCAAGGTAACCAGCTTGTTGGTTTGAGCTAGATCCAGGCTCACTGGCCACTTTCCTTCTTTCTTGTCCACTGCCCACTGTGATTTCTGTCTTGTCACGTTGCCCTTCCTTGGGCAGGGGGTGTGGAAGTGGGGACATACCACCTTGGGATCTAAAGCTCGCGCCCTTGGTGCAGGTTGCTTCGATTAGAACCCCACCCCTATCGCTGATGAGCTGTGTAACTCTGGCGAGTTTATTTACTGTCTCTATGCCTCAGATTTTTCACCTGTAAAATGAGATAATATCATTTCGAGCTTCACAGGCTGTTTACCTGAGATAATTCTTGTCCGGCACTTAACCCAGTTCCCAGCATAGAGGACGTGTTCAGCCACATGGGCCACTCTATTAGTCCCAATTTTAAAATGGTCCCACATTCTTTTCTTGGGATGCTACTGACACAGTATAATATACCCCAGAAATATCTTCACATTTTGTTAAAATGATCAAACAGATGATAATACAGAAATTCACCTCCGACCTCCTGCCAAAGTCATCTTGGATCTATGTGTCGTTTCCTGGGATTTGTTCTTTATCTGAAAGGGAGTCTCGGCAATATTGTCACACGGAATTGGTTTTTTGGAAGCACCAAGTTAAGCTGAAAATTATTCAGAAAGAGCACAGGTTAGGAGCTCCCAAGACGGAAATTACATTTCAGGTGAATTGATGTTTAGTCAGTTCTGCTCTGTTTCTGTGTGAGAGTCTCACCCAGTGGAAACCCATCTATTCAATCGCTGTTTTATTGTCTGCTGTGCTGGAGATACAGCAGCGAGCAGTGTGCACAGTGCCCCGCCCTCACAGACCTCGCATTCCAGGGAGGAAGACAGCTGCAAGAGAGATGGTTCAGGGAGGTGACAGATAGGTGCGGTGCTAGAGAGTGACCTGAGGAGGCATTTGGCAATGTCTGGAGACATTTTTGGTTATCACGCTGGGAAGGGAATGCGACTAACACCTACTGAGCAGAGGCCAGCTCAACATCCTGCAACGTACGGGAATCCTCTGCCCACAACCCAAACCAAGAATTATTGGGCTTTCAATGTCAGGAGGGCCCAGGTTGAGAAACTCTGCTCTAGGTCGCCTTGGAAGCCTCAAGGACGAGGGGTGACGTTTGGGCCAATGAGGATATAAGTGATGAGGAGGAGTATTTCACACCAAAATTTGTGGGAGGAGCATTTTGGGAAGAGGAACTAAGAAGAGCAAGGTCCCTGAGGCAAGAGGAAGCTCTGGGAGGAACAGTGCTAAGGCCAGTATGGCCATAGTGGGTGAGATCAGTACCGTGGGTAAATCATGTAGGGTTTTGTGGCAATTGTAGGAGTTATTCAAGTTACTCAGTGGGATTTTGAGGTATTATGAGAGTTTGGACATTGTTTTGAATTTTTCCGTTTGATTTTCTTTTTTCCCCTCTGCAGAATTATGGCCTTGAAACTGATAATATGAAAAATTTGGTTCTGAAACTGCGAGCGTCTTCCCACAACTTACAGAATTACGTATGTAGTCGGCGAAAGAGTCCGGCTTATGATGGGAACACGTCGCACAAGCCCCCCAATGAGTTCCTTACTTCGGTAGTGGAGCTCATAGGCGCTGCCAAGGCCTTGCTGTCTTGGCTGGACCGGTGAGTGTTCGACTGTCCTCTGAAACGAGGGCCTGAGACGCGCAGAGCCCTGTGCTTTCTCTTAGGAAACTGGCTGCTGTCCTATCCTTGTCCCCCCACTGGGCTGTTCCAGCAGTTCTGCATCAGTGGTAGGCATTAGGCTCTCTTTGGAAGTGACTGAAAAGTGACTAGCAGGAACAAATTAACCTCAGCTTAGAGAAGAGCGAGACTGCCAAAGATGTTTTACGGAGGCTGAACATGAACGATTCTTTGGTTGTATGATGGTTAGTTGGCTTCTGAAGGGACGATCATTCTCTTGGCTTCTTTATTTAATGCGTGCTTTTTTTTAAAATCAAGCACTTCTCTGTCTCACTCAGATTCCTCGTTTGTGTGTTACTGGCGAGGACACGGTTACATAACAACTTATTTCAATGAGTGGGTTGTGGAGCTGTGCTTGTCAGCATACAGTGTGGGATCCCATGGGTTCTCCTCCTCCACCCCCTCACACTTATTTCTAAAGAGAATTTTGTTGCTTTCTAGGGCTCCGTTCACAGGGATCACCGATTTCTCAGTAACAAAGAACAAAATCATTCAGCTTTGCTTGGACCTGACCACTACAGTCCAGAAGGTTAGTGCATTATTGTCGCTTACTAAACTTTTGTTCTCTCCCTTTACCCTTTTTCCTCTTTGTCAAAGGGTTTACGTGCAGGTATGCAGTGCCATTCTTTCTCTCCACCCCTCCTCCACCCCCCCCCAGCAGAACTGTGGAGAGATGAAAGGCTTTAAATTAGATGCATTGTATAGATGGTTTCTGAAAAATGGCCAGTGGCCTTTACCTGAAAGATGACTTTCTTTGGTTTTAAAATAGTTGAGCTAATCGGTCCTGTATGGTCTCTAAAATATAAAGGGCACCTAATTTTTTAAAAACAGAAATTCTGGAGTAACTAAATTTCACTATAATCTTTGTTCAGGATGTAGGCTGACAGACCAACCAGTATCTCATTCCCTGACCCCATGTCAGAAGGACAAAGAAACTTGGAGGTTCTCACATTGACAAATGTTCCAGTTTGGAAATTTCCCTCACAGCTCATTGGCCAGACCCAAGTATATTAGTAAGGGCCAGGAAGATTCATATTAGTCAACCTGCAACTTAGCTAGGTTCTGTGACCTCAACTTAAAAAAAAATTTCTTGTTAGGCCATCAGCTGTTAAGATCACTTCTTGTCATATTACCTGGCACCTAGCAGACACCTGTAAAATATTTTTGAATTGAATTGAGGCTATAAAATGTAAAGAAGAGCTTGTTCTTTTTTCACATCCCGCTTGCTTCCAAAATTCTGTGATCCCACATTTGTTTCCACTGCTGATTTGGCGAAAAGTAAAGATGTCCTTTCCTCAGTCCTGACCGTGTTACATATTGTAATAGATGCAGCTCTGAGAAGCCATGTACTTTCCTTCTGTTTCTGGAACATGAAGAGTGACGTTTGGCTTTGCATGTGGCAGCTGTTTAAGGTCCAGTCCTGAGCAGCCATCGAACTTAAGGCACATGTGACTTCATCACCTACTTTTGAGGCCATGTTCTTAGAAAGGACCTCAGAGCAACTGAAGTGGCACTGTGTTTCTGCTCTTTTTTATGATGTGTAAAGTAATTTTGACCAAGAGTGTCTGAAACCAATTGTGACATATTAGTCATACAGCCACCAAGTCCTGGCATTGGTGGTGGAAGGCGTTTATTTCTCTGATACCTCGAGCTTTCCTTTTCTTCTCCGCTTCCTTCTCCCCCACTAAGTTCTGCCTCCTGTTTTGATTTTTAAAAGAATTTGCTTGTGATCAATTAAAATAACAGTGTAAGAGTTAAACATTTTAATTAGCAAACGGGCAAGTTTTGCTCATAGGTGCCTCTGGGTTTTATTTAAAGGGTCTTTAGATGCGTGACTGAGTCAGGCTGCCCCTGCTGTAGTGTAGGGAGAGGAGGCGAAAGTGATGAAGTCCAAGGCGGAGGTGGTAGTGTTTGTTTTCACAAGATCAGCCTGCTTTGCCTAAGCAGGTTGATGTTGGCTGTGTAGGTATTTGGCCTGTTCTTTCCATAAATATTTATTTAGCACTTGCTACGTGTCTGCCGCTCTTCTAGGCAGAAGGGATTCTAGAGTGAGTAAACTAGATAAAAAAAAATAGTCTCTGACCTAATGGAATGTACGGTCTTTGGGGGAAAGAGAAAATTTAAAGGTAAATAAGCAAACTACGTATCAAGTTAGAGAAGCGCTGAAGAGGGACGGTACAGAAAGTACTGAGAGTGGAAACCAGTTTTAGGTATGTGGCTAGAGTAACCCTCATTGAGAAGGTGACAGCTGAGTGATCTGACCAGTGTGACTCAGTGCTTGTCCCGACAGAATGGGCTTACTGTATTGTCAGATGGTGTTTGCCTTGTAGTCATAGAGGTGTTGATTGTTTGGAATAATGATAAAAAATATCTATTCCCGGGAGGCTGAAATCTGGATTCAGTCACGTCAGGAGAAGGGCGCCCACTGTGCGGTCTCATCACACTGGCCCCTGCTTTTTGGGTCTTCACATCGCCTGGCATGTGATTAATGGTGATTTTTAAACATGCATTTAAATGAATGAGATAATGCTTTCACAAATTCGCTGGTGAGAATTTCTCCCGTAAGAGAAATTTAACCCTCATTTAAGGGGTATAAGAGGTACTGTTTTTGTTTGTTTGTGGCTTATTTTTTTGTTTTTGTTTTCCCATTTGGTGTTCATTGAGCATGTGCTTCAGAGACAGACACAGGTTCAAATCCTACCTCTACCATTAATTAGCCCGGGACCTTGGACAAGTCACTGAAAACTTATGAGCCTCAATTCTTCTCCTCTGTAAAATGGAAATACTAATATGTACCTTACCAGATGATTTGGTGGGATTTCTACAAGTTATTGTTGAGATAGAAAAAGGGGGAAAAAGTATAACATGAAGACAAATGGTGATCACAAATATTTTAAATGTATGTATATAAGTATTTGTAATATACACATACATCCAAAAAAAAACTATACACAAAGGAATACTTAAGTACAGTGGACAATTTGGAAGAGAAATTGAGTTTATCTTGGCAGGGAGAGAAGTGGGGACGGCACATGGGCACCGAGCCAAAAAGTAAGGAAAACGTTTTCTTGTTTACAAAAAGTGTGTGTATCATCACATTTATGCATTCATGTAAAATTAAAAATAGAGAAATAATATAAAGTTAAAAAAGTATTATCTACCTCAAAAGATCCTTAGGAAGATTAAATGAGATATAACATATGTAAAAGCATGATGCCCCTTAAGAAATAGTAGCCGATAGTCGGAACTATAAAAAAAATCTTGCCTTGCACTGGTTTTCTGGAATGAGACTTGATGGTTTAAGGAGAAGTTAACAAATACATTATTACTGTTACATTCTGGGGTTTTTTTCCTTTTGATTTATTTAAATTTGAACATTTTTAAAGGATTAAGACTGGCAATATATAAATATATGTGGGAATATCATTTTATGAACTTAGATAAAAAAAAAAACATGTTTAGCTCTTGGTGACTGTGTGTTTTCTGTAGTAATTGGAGAACATAGGTGCTGTCCCCTTCTTTTCTTGTCACTTTCTCTGTCCTTCCCTCTGCTGACAGTGTGCAAGTCTCCCCATTGGAAGGGGAGATAGTTGCTGCTTTTCTCCCCGGTGAGGAAAGTGCACACTGCTTTTAACCATGCGTCACCCACAGCCTCACACCCCGTCCACGCAGATATTCTGTCCAGATTTCAGGCTATAATTTCAGATGAAGGAAACCAAGGTGGGACGGGGCCGCGGTCTCTATCTTCAATCTCTCCTCCTAAAGTGGCGATGACAGGAAAACAGGAATTGCAACGGCAAGAGACAAAATGACAGTGGCAGGTGCTGAATTCCAGAGTGGCGAGAAATGAGGGAAATGCGCAACGTCAAGCCCGCGAAAACCTAACGGAAAGAAGGATAGCCACGAAAGCAGATGAGGAAAGAGCCGTGAGGCGGTTCATTGAGTGCTGGGCTGTGAATCAGTTGTGTGCTGCACGCCGGCACGTTACCACATTTAATTCTGAACAGCTCTCTGATGTCGATTTGATCATCCCTGATTTATGGAGAAGGAAACAGAGGCACGGAGAGGTTAAACTGATTGTCCAGGGCCACTGAGGTAGTAAGAAGGTAGAATAAGAAAGAGGGGCAGCAGGGGGAAGGGACACCTGATAGCTGCCCAGACTAGGTCTGTGCCAGGCAGGTAGGCTGGCCTGAGTCTGCTGATCCAGGTGACCAAGGAAGGTGACAAAGCTCCTACCGTCTGGCTCATGAGGGGGGTGACTTGTTTCCAGGACTCCTTTTTTCCATTCCATGGCCTTCATGCCAAACAACATTAAGTCACGCCTGCAGCTGCTTCCTGCCCGTAGGAATGGGTGTGGGAACCTACGTATTCATGGTGGTGGAAGGTAAAATAAAATGCGAGCCCTTTCACAGGCTGACTCGAACCGCCCGGGGAGGCAGGAGAGTCCCCCTCACCCAGGGGCCCCATCGCCACAAGGAGGAACCCGTTTTCTAGGTGGCTTCTAGGATCTGTCACAGAATCAGGTTTCGGGAACTGTGAGGTTCCACCCGCCTTGAATCTTGGGCCCTGGAGCGCTCCGCCTGTGGGCGATGACCTCACAGTGATGACGGTGCTCCTGTCCCTTGGGGATTTGTAGTGAACGATCACAAATACAAATTATTAGTTTTATTTTTAGCACAGGACCACCTAAGTATTCTGTTTTTCTAAAGCTGCCATTCGTTTAATAAATCTGTTCTTCAGATGGTGTTAATAGGCGAATCAGCCATTACAGTAATGGATGATTTAGTGCCATCCACAAGTTGGAGGAAGAAAAGCACATTTTTGAGCTGTAATTACTCATATTTTGCAGAAGTTTTCCCCGTAGTTTAAATTTATAACTTTTTTTTTTTTAAAGCGTTTTCTTAGTTGGCTGCTTTTCCCCCTGAGAGTCAGTGTACATTTTAGGAGCAGTGAGAAACTGCAATTGTTTCTCACATTTTTACCTAGTAGAGAAAATTTTTTAAAAATTTTAAGAAGACACTGAAAATCTGATTATATAAATCACATAGGGTAGAAATTGTTAGCTATTTCCACCCCTGTTCCCCGCCCCCCATGACATAAAATGACTTAAAAATTTATTTTCCAGTGTGTTTTTCCAGGACCCATCAGCTCCAAGTCAAGTAGTTATTTCAGTCTAGTTGTGGAGGGCGCAGCTCCGTGGCCCATGTGGGAATCGAACCGGCAACCTTGGTGTTATGAGGCTGCGCTCTAACCACCTGAGCCAACCGGCCTCCCCTTAAAATGACTTTTTGGTTGAAGTGAAACTCTGACAGTTTCAACAGAATTCATTAATACCCTTCATGTACATAAAATAATCAGCATTTTTTTCTAGAATGCCCCAGTTTGGGATTATACTTAACGGTGCTGAAAAGACTTTGAAGAATGTAGTTGGTCTCCCTTTCCTTCTGCTGCAGGCAAGCTCTAGGTTAACTGAGAATTTCACATGGGCAGTTTTGCTTTGGCTGCTGCTAGACAGGACAATGGTGATTCCTATAATCAGCTAACAGTTCCCAGTCTTTTGTTCTTAAACTGAGTAAAGAATGCTGTGCGTTCCAGGCCTTTATTTACTGTCATCAATAGCATACCTCAAGACCGCTTTTTTGGCAGTGTGTTAAATGAATGTTTTGTTGAACCCTTTTCATCTATTAAGGACTGAAATATCTGATTTAATCGCAGTGGTGCTTAAAATAAACTTTTGTGGCTGAGCTTATTTAAGCCCTTATTTGAAAGCTGTTCTTACAGGCAGGTCTAGAGCTAAGGACGCTTGGCTTGTTGGCCCAGTCCTCACTGAGCCTGGGGTCCCATTTGGGAGCCATTGTCAGGTTTCTTGGACTTTGACTTCTGGCTTATCACTTTCTGCACAGCCTGGACAGCAGGTGGATTTCAGCTCAATGATTTTTGTAGGTTTTCAGGTTAAATAATTGGTCAGATGGGTTCCTGGGATGATAAACATCTTGGGTCAGAATTGAGCAGAGCCTCAGGAAGAGTTAAATGGCAGCTCCATTTGTACTCTGCCCTTTCCATCTAGTTCTCCTTCTACCCAGGACTGCTCAGGCTGCAGGGTGGGGGCCGGGGGGCATGGCAGAGACCGTCTTGGGCTCCAGGAAATATCCAGACAGACAAGCCAACAGGTTTTAAAAGTTTTTCACTCTTAAATTTAGTTTTCTTTTTTTTTTCTTCCCTTCTTTAGAATTGTCTTGTAGCAGAAATGGAAGATAAAGTTCTAACCATAGTAAGTATACATTCTGAAAGTTATCGCAAAATTCCTTTCCCCAAACCTATGGGAATCACATTACTTAAAGTAAATAAATGCACTGTGGTTAGTTACTGTAGGATAGATTTTGAAATATTGGCTTTTGGGATACGGGCCTATTAATTTAGACAAAAAAGGAAGAATAAAAGTTGTTTAACAACAAGACCAACTACTGTGAACATTCCTGTGCTGAAATTGGATGTATTGGGGTCTCTCATGTGCTTTGTTTTTTTATCCTCTGAACATTTCATCAGGGTGCTGTTATACTTAAATTGATAGCTAGCCTGTTAATCAGGGATGCACTGATCTTCAAATTTCACTTTAGGACCATTTTGATTAAAAAAAAATTCTTGGCAAAACCCTTATGATGGAGGGGGGATGTACTGTGGCTGTTTAAAGGCATTTTGTAACTATTCATCATCACTTCCTCCTTTTGACATAAGCCAGCCTGTGCTCTTTTGATAAGGCCTTCCTCCTACTGATGTTGAGGAATTTGGCAATGAAACTGCTATAAATATATTTTCCATAAATAGGGAGGCTAAACAAATTGGAGGAATGTGAAAAGTGTCACTTCTTGGATTCTCCCCCTTGGAAAAAAAAAGCCACTCTTTGGAATTTCCTGATTTCTTTGGTTGTTTAATTTTGAAAGGTTAGATGAATCTGATTGGGGGAGATAACCACATGTAACCACTGTGACTTCTACACAGCGATTACTTAATAGGGGTCTTCACATTGTTTCTAAAGGTTTGCTTTGTCAGTGTTTGCATTCAGAGAATGTGAACATCACCATCATGAAAAAGATGGTAGACCTACATTTAAAATACAAAACTATAAAGCTCCTAGAAGAAAACTGGAGAAATTCTAGGTGACCTTGGGTTTGGTGATGAGTTTTTGGATATGATATTAAAAGCTTGATCAAGTAAAAAAAAATCGATAAGGTAGACTTCATTAAAATGAAAAACTCTGCTCCATGCAGCATACTGTTAAGAGAAGGAAAAGATAAGCCTCAGACCGGGAGAAAATATTTTCAAAACACATATCAGATAAGGGACTTGTTTCCAAAATATACAAAACTCAATAATAAGAAAACAAACAATCTAATTAAAAAGTGGGCAAAATATCTGAACAGACACTTTACCAAAAAAAGATGTACAACTGGTAAGTAAGTATATGAAAAGATGTTCAACATCATGTTTCATTAGGGAACTATAAATTAAAACAATAATATACCACTATACGCCTATTAGAATAACTAAAATTTAAAACATGACAACACCAGATGCTGGCAAGGATGTGGAGCAGCAGGAACTCTCATTCATTGTAGGTGGGAAGGCAAAGTGGTAAAGACACTTTGGAAGACAGCGTGGCAGTTTCTTACAAACTAAAAATACTCTTAACCGTACATTTCAGCAATTGCAATCCTAGGTATTTATCCAAATGAATTGAAAGCTTATAGCCACAAAATGTTATAGCCACAGAATGTTATAGCACCATTATTCATAATTGCCAAAACTTGGAAGCAACCAAGATGTCCTTCAGCAGGTGAATGGGTCAATAAACTGTGGTCCATCCAGACAATGGAATATTATTCACCAATAAAAAGAAATGTGCTCTCAAGCCATGAAAAGGTATGGAAGAAACTTAAAAATGTGTATTACTAAGTGAAAAAAGCCAATCTGAAAAGGCAACATACTGTATGATTCTAACTATTTGACCTTCTGGCAAAGGCAAAATAATAGAGACCAAAAAAAAAAAAATCAGGGATTCTCAGTGGGGCAGGAAGAGAGGGAGGAACAGGTGGAGCATGGGATTTTTAGGTAGTGGCGTTATTCTGTATGATATTGTATGGTGGATACATGACATGAGGCATTTGTCAGAATCCATAGAACTGCATACCATCAAAGAGAACCCTAATATAAACTATGGTCTCTTATTAATATAATCTCTCAATATTGGTTTTTCAACTTTAACAAATATACCACCACTAACGCAAGATGTTGATAATATCTTGTCATTATGAACTCTATTATAATACTATAACTATAACTGTGTTTGGGTGGGATAGGAACTCTGCGCTTTCTGCTCAACTTTTCTGTAACCTGCAACTGCTTTTTAAAAATAAACTCTATTAAAAAAACAATCAGGTGCCGGACAAAATAACCTTATCGATATTTGGTATGCAGAGAATATCAGTGATCACTACAAAAAATACAGATGGCTAGGAATCGATGATTCTCTTTAACTGTCAAAAAGGAGGCTTCTGTTTCTGCCTGGCCTGTGCTCTTCAGTGGTTGTAAATGGGATAATATATAATAAATGTTGCATGTTTTAAACAAAGTTGAAATATGTGGCACCCTTTGTACAGGTTGCAAATACAGAGTCCAAGTGCCATGCGCTCATTGAGCAGCATTATCAAAATGATTGCCGGCCAGAGCTAAAGTTTATAGGTGAAGTGCATTTCTTTAAAAGTCAGCTCGAGATAAACTTCGTTAATGATTGAACCTCTCCTGATGTTTCACCTCTCCAACTCTAGGTCAAGGTTTTAAATGGCATTTGTGACAAAACAATCCGCTCCACCACGGACCATGTTATGAGCCAGTGTGCCTGCCTGGAGGAAGTAAAGTTATCAAACATTAAGCCCGGGGAAGGCCTGGTAAGAATTCTAACAGCACGTATTTGTTTTTAAATAATAGCACATCGTCATTTATTCAAGTTTCTCCAGCCCCTCCCATAATTCCTTGTTGCTCTCACTGTAATTCTGAATAGCATTAAATTAGGCTGTCTTCCACCACGTAGTTAGAAATTTACTGTCTTGAGCTGTTGACATACTTTATGTCTTCAAAGTATAAAAATAAGCACAATTTTAAAACTGTACATTCATATCTTGAAGGAATTATCGTAACAGTTTTATTTTTAGGACTTCGCAATGGAAGGAACTATAAAACATTTATACAAAGGAAAGATGGTCTCTGGGTACATAACAACATCTGCTCTGAATAAATCTCTGTTAGCTCTTAGGGAGAAGATGAGGAGAGGCTCCTTGGAAGAAATTATTCTGAAAAAGGGTCAGAAATGTTTCATTAGTAAGGAATGAACTCAAGGATGAGAAACCCTGAGAGCACCTACAGGTAGTTACCTAGCTACCGAGGTCAGTGCCCAGATACCTAGCTCCCCCAGTCCTTAGCACGCAGCCAATGAGATTAATTTGCTGCAATGTAAGTGAAGAAGCTGTGAGGCCCACTGATAAACTCAGAGGCTTTGAGTCAAGGTTGACATCTCAGCTCTCCAGTGACTTAACCGCTTGATGTGTCAATTTCCTCATCCGTCAAAACTGAATAATAATAATGGCCTCCCAGGGTTGCTGAAAGTGTGAATTTAGATGATGGATGCTGAGCGCCAGATGCTGGACTGCACAGGACATGTGTGGCGACTGGTGGCCGCAGCTGCTGTAGCTACTATTGAGGAGGGGCGCGCCCACCATGTAGGTCGCTGTGGGGAGACATCAAGACGGCCTCTGCTCTCAGACAGGAAAACAAAAGCAGCCAAATGTTGACGAGCCTGCATTCGTTGTCAGCAGAAGTGTGCACACAGAGGCTGCTCAGCTTCAAAGTAAACGATGGATTGTAATAGATTCGATGGAGAAGGCTTCTGGGAGCTGAGCCTATAGTCATGTGGGAGCAGAGAAATGGCCTGCGTGGGCAGGAACGGCGTTGCCATTTCGGGTGGTAACGTTGTACAGGCAAGTGGCCAGGGAAGAGGAGTGCCGCCTGGAGGGAGAAGCTGGTTGCTCTGGCAGGGAAGGGAGCTGGAAGGGAGAGGAGGAGGGAGAACGCTGAAGGTGTCATATGTGAGGAGACTCTCAGCACAGGGTAGTGTAGGGCCAAGTTCAGCGTCAACGTGATTTTTCAGGAGAATGCGTTATTGTGATATGGATACCAGGGCGAGCAGCTACTCTTTGCACGATCTACTTTTGCTGTCTTTCCTCATCTTTTTTTTAAAGATTTTATTGGGAAATTGGGGGAGGGGAATAGCCAAGTTGTTGTCCTTCAATCTTAGTTGCGGAGGGCACAGCTAGCTCAGCACCAAGTCCAGTCTCCATTCGGCCACCTTTTGGCAGCTCACAGCCGCTCAGCTCAAGGTGCCATGTTCAATCTTAGTTGTCGGTGGGCGCAGCCCACCATCCCATGCAGGAGTCGAACTGGCAACCTTGTTGTTAGGAGCACGTGCTCTCACCAGCTGAGCCATTCTGCCACCTGTTGGCAGCTCAGCGGCAGCTCAGCTCAGGCGCAGCTCACTGGCCCATGTGGGAATCAAACCGGCAACCCTGTTGCTCGGAGCTCATGCTCTTAACCAGCTGAGCCACTTGGCTGGCCCCGTGTCTTTCCTCATCTTATACAAGTTTAATAAGCACTTTTTATACATGATGTGCCAGAGTACAGAAATGTCTTTTTGATGATAGGGCCCTCGCCTCTGAGCTTGCTTAATCAGGCCTTTTAGGAAGGAGCACATTTATCTTATGCTTCCCTTAAAAGGGAAGGGTGCCTGTTTCTAATTTATTTCCTGTGTTGTGCTGTTTAACCACCTTCGTTCATACATCCTGGTCTGGATTGTGAGTGGCTTGAATAAGTCATCCTGCCATGACTACTGATACCAAATTTAACTGAATGTATTGTGTCACTAGATAAAGAGATGGCCAGAAGAGAGCAGCCCTTGTCTGAAAGGCCTCATTCATTCTGCAGGGCTGAGAAGATCCCTCCCGAGTCCCCAGAGTTATGGCAAAATTCGGTGTGCCTGGCACACAAATGACAATAGCAAAGAGATCTCGCTTCTGATTTCTTTCACTAGTATTTCGGTTTGTTTCGTTCCCCTTCACCTGTCCTTGGATCTTGTTTCAGTGTTTCAGGAGGCTTAAAAATGAGTAGCGTTCTGCAGGGGCTGCCTTTAATGTTTTATAAGTTCAAGTCGCACTTGGTGGCTGTATGTCTACATGTTGGCGTAGAGGTAACATATTTGTGACTCACTCTAGGGCATGTACATCAAATCAACCTATGATGGCTTGCACGTGATTACTGGAACCACCGAGAACGTAAGTGCCTGTTCGTTAAATGTAAAAGGTATTGGGTGTTTAAACAAATTTGGCACAGAGTCCCCATACTTTTCATTTAAATGTATGCATGCTGTTTTATTACCCTGATTGAGAGCGTGGGTGCCTGTTTTGTTTATGTCTGTTGCTAGCACACTGCTTATCACCAGCTGTTCTCAATTTATTATTTAAATTGTCCTTTATTGCGCTACCTTGCCCAGTTTTTCACCCCCACCCTTGTGTTAATTATTCCTTTGGCGCCCCAGAAGTGTTAATCCATAAAAACAAAAACAATGATCCCTTTGCTGTTGAGAATCACTCTTATAAGAACTGAAACTGTTAGCCAAATGTGTAAAATATCATTTTTGTTTGTCTAATGGAATTTATGTATGTCACTGGAGCAACTATTTTGGGATTTTTGCATGACATAGATTCTTTTTATAGAGTTGTAGTTCATAATATTTGGCATGATATTGAAATTTAGGTCCCCTTCCCCTCTAATTCTTTGAATACAAAAAGCAGGGCTGTTTCTACTGTGAGACACTTTGTACACTGTTCTCTTTCTTTTGGAAATTCTGCTACATGAAAGGTGTGTCTATAGCCCTTCAAACGTTTTGAATTTCTGAAAAGTAGAGCTAATTGAGTGCTTTCTTTTTGCAAGCAACCTACAATATGGCAGCTTTTAAATGACATTGATAGGAAGCTTAAAATGTTTGAATAACTTCCAGGATCTATGTAAAGGAAACATGTGTCTGTGGAATTAATCTACTGTTTGATCAACTAAGACAAGAGGAAATAATTCCTTAAAATAGAAGAAATTTGGTACCTACTTTTCTAACCTGTTTGGTGAAAATTTGTGTTGAATTTTGAGCTTCAGCTGCTAGGTCTTTTAATAAAATAAAATGACATGATCTTTGATGAGGGTTTGCTATACACACTTGATTTTTGTAGTAAGACAAAAATGACATTGCTTAAGGCAATCAATGAATTATAAAGAAGTTGTGTGGTCCTGACAGATGAATGAGTAGAAGATGGTAGTGTCTTTCAGCATTCGTTGTTGATCAGCAATGAGAATACACTCAGCTCTGCCTGGAATTTTTATATCACCTCACCTGAGAGGCAATAGCAGCACAGGAAGCTCTGCTTTTAGGCCGGGGATGGTGTAAAAGAAAAAATGCATAATGCATTACACAGTTCACCCTTTATTCTTGTCATAGACATATTCTATTTAAGCTGGACCATGACAAGAACGAACATACACACGTAGTAGCCACCCAGTGTATTATTTTGGAGTTGGAAGGATGGTGAATGTCATTTATCTTTTTTGTTTATTTATTATTATTATTTTTCTAAAGTAGTAAAAGAGCAGTTTATTAGAAGAGAAATTACACTCCAAAGAGTTTGTAGCAGGCTGAGAAAAAACAGCTCAAAAGGCCTTATTTCAATTTTTAGAGTAGAAATTTTGCATCTGGCAATTTGGTGATTGCCTGAACAACCAGACCTGTGTGGTTCTAGACTCTCGCTGGTCTTCTTGAAGCAATTGCAGTCCTGGGAAAATGTGAACACTAATAGAGCTATCAGAAGGCACACAGATTTCTCCTTTTCAAAACACACCCTCCCCCCCCCCCAGTTTTATTTTAAAGATGAGAGTTGAATGAGAGACTAAACAAGCTGCTTTGAATCAAGTGAAATGACTGTCAAATGTAATGATACATTTCCTAGAATTCCTACCAGACTGAAAAAGACTTTGGTGAGAGATTCAGGGTTGACCCGAATGTAGTTGACCCTGGAGGTCCCAGAAAGGACTGTGCATAAGTCATCCCAGAGGAAGATGGTTTCCATCCAGTTAGAGACCAACAAAAGGAAAACTTGTCGTATTGCCTCTGGTCATCCATTTGAAAATGTCACTCATCCTGTCAGTACGCGCGAAACGTGCTGAACACTTGCTAAGTCTCATAGATCAGGGTGGGAAGTTAGGTAAGAGCTCATTTCTCATGGGATTAACCTGGTTGTTTTATGTTTCATTCTGGATATTTTACACTTAAATGGCAGAAGAAAATGCCATCCCCAGGAAAGCTTTGCAGCTATCACTGAAGGTTGCTAAGACTTCAGAGTCATAATGTCTTCATGGAAGCCCAGTGTGGTGGGTGGTAGTGGATGGAAATCACACATTGCATTGCCAAGCCAGTTGTCTCCATAGTCCTCTGTCTTGGATTCTAGGCTGAAGCAATGCCAGAGGCCATCTCAGTCCTCTGGTCCCTTTTTTTTTTTTTTGAGGTTATCTGAGAAGCCAAGATCATTCCAAGGTCAGATTAAACAATATCTAGAGATCCTTCTCTATCTGGCTTCTTTTTTTGGTGATGCTCAAGACCTTGACAGGAGCCTCGACAAGATCCCATCCGTTGAGGGGATGAGGTGGGAATTAGATTAGCCTTGGAAGAATGGATCCATTCTTCTCCAGGTCATCACCCTTCTACCCCAAACCAAAACCAGCGTCATTTTTCAGTAGCCTGGCTCATGGTGAAGACAGGCAAGAGGCAGTGTCCTAGGGAGAATTTTGGTATCAAGGTCTCCCTTTACCAGTGTTCTGCCAAGCACAACTCTTAATCACTTGGTAGGACATTTGAGAAATGAATGCATGAGGAGCCTAAGGAAAGGAAGTCAATTCAGGACACTGGGGATTTTTTTTTTTTTTTAAAGACTGCACATCTGTAAATAGGGCTTCCTGGCCTCAGGGCCATCTTTTATAATGTGAAGCCGACCATAAATATCCTTAGCCCAGGAAGATTAACTGGAAAACTAGGAGTTCAGTATCTGACACACAGAATCGAAAAGGAGCATATATATATATATATATATATATATATATATATATATATATATATATATATATATATATATATATGTTGTTTTTTTGTTTTTTTCTTTTTAAGTGTCTAAGAGAGAGATTTGAGTTAGGTCATCTCCCTGTGGCACCCTTGATACTAGTCTCTCAGGTGAGGCACTGCTGGTTGTTATGGCGGCAGGTTAAATGTTGTTAAAAAATAACAGTCACACCTCTGCTTTGTGTTGGACCTAGATAAATCCGTGGGAATGTCTCTACAGTTTAATGTCGCTTGCTCACTTCTTGTTGAGCCTGTCACAACAGTTGAGTGAGAAAAATTCAGCAAGCGTATCTTGACTTTAATTGCTACCCCGTCACCATGTTCAAAGGTGCTATTTTTTTTTTGAGGATAGTTATAAATTGAAGATTCAGCCAGTTATATAAGTTACCACATAAAATATTCTGGCCTAGATAACATTCGATTGTAATTTGAAATCAAAGATTTATCCTTTCCTTGTCTTTTGCTCATGAACTAGCTTAGTCATAAAGATTTCTAGTGTGACTAGATGAACAAGAATGCTATGGGCAAAATGTTTGATAAATATATTACATTAATATATCTATATATACACACATGTGAATATACCTGTATTTATATCTGTTTGCAAATTTGTAGCAAAGCATTATTTGGGATAACAAAGTCATCTGGAAGTTTGTTTTGTTATTGAAAAATACATTTGTTTTTTAATTCAACCTGAAATGGAAAAATTTTAAATTCATTTTCTCTAAAGAAATACAATTTCAATTTTCACCATCTGTCTATTTTAATAGCATGTGATAAATGAAAAGCAAGGTTGAGTAAAAAGAAGATTTAGTTTTAATAATTGCTTAGAAGGAAACGGGATGACAGTTACAATGATGGCCTTTACATGTTAAACAGTTGGTAAGCTTCTACGAGATTAATTTTGTTAAGGGTTTATATATATTTTTTAGATGAACCAGTGGCTTTTATCAGCTCATCACTGTTGACAGTGTGTCCCACTCTTTCTGATAGGGGAGATGAGCTCGGCTGTTCTAACTGACAGATTATCTGTTATAACAGACCACTAATAAACGAGCAGGGGTCGGCAAACTTTTGAGACGGGAGAGCCGCCAGGGGTCAGCAAACTGCAGCTCGCAAGCTGTGGCTCTGAAGTCAAATTGAAAATGAAAATAAAACTGTCATAGTTTCAGGTATAAAATTTTTAAAGGATATTGTTCACATAGTGGTGATTATGTAAAAATATATTTATGGCTCTTGAATAATTTTTAAATTGTTGTGAGGGACAGGAGTGGATCTTCCAGGGGTCGGCAAACTTTTGAGACGGAATGTACCCAAAGAGCCTCATGTGGCTTGTGAGCCGCAGTTTGCCGACCCCTGAGCTAGCTAGCACAGGTATCCGTATGTCAAGTTCTGCACACTACGTAGACTCAGCAAACTCACATACACTTTGTAATATTTCTTGAGAAAATTATATTTCCATTGCTCATTGTCTACGGAAGATAGAAGGAAGAAGAAATGGAAGCAGAAAGAAATAGAAGGTCGAAACCTAAGACAGATCTCTGTTTGTTTCTAATAGTCTCCTGCGGACAAATCTCAGAAGATTCACGCTGGTGATGAAGTCATTCAGGTTAATCGGCAAACGGTGGTGAGTTTCTCCTTGAGACTTAAGACCCAATATTACCCTCTAGAACTTTTGACTAAACCCAACACCATTTTGCTTGAATTTTTAAAATTTGCTGTGTATATCTAATTTTCCATAAGTTTAAGCAGTACTACTGTGAACATACTTGGATTTGTCTGTTTGTGTCCACCTGTTTGCTCACAACTGGTTTCCCTGAGATATATTCATCGGTTTGATTTTTCCTTATTCATGAGTGAGCCCCCTCTCCTCATTTTCTTTCTTTGAAGGTGGGCTGGCAGCTAAAAAACCTGGTGATAAAATTGAGAGAGAATCCCACTGAAGTTGTATTGCTGCTTAAGAAGCGCCCCACAGGTTCTTTCCACTTAACTCCTGCTCCCCTGAAAAACCTACGGTGGAAGCCGCCTCTTGTGCAGGTATCTGGTCTATTTCCACTCTCTCCGTAAGCATTCTTTTGGTATCCGTGCATGAACAATGTCAAAAGTCTGCGTGAGCTCCAAAAAGAAAGATGAAAAAATAGGAAGGAGATTGGTTTCAGGGGTTTGTGTACGCATAATTTTCCTATTATCCTACTGATATGAAAATATACATTCTAGATTTGCATTGAACAGTATGGCAGCCACTCGCCACACGTGGCTATTTAAATGAAATGAAAGGTTCCGTTCCTCAGTCTCACTAGCCACATTTCAGCTTGGCAGCCACATAGGGCTAGTGGCTGCCATCACTTCAGAAAGTTCATTCTAGTCCTCCTTTCTTCATTTTAAATGCCCACTCATATAAATGTATCCACTTTGCACACTAACCTTAGAGAGACCACGTGGGGTTGAGTCCTTGGCCCTGGTTTACCAAGGTGGGCTCAGGACAGTGGGAATAATCCATCTGGTGGTGAGCAGGTGGTTCTTTGTTATCACTATTGTTCGGGCATTGTTTAGAATTGCCAGCCTTGGGTGATACTGAGTTTATTATTTAAATTCTCTACAAACAGTCTGCTCCTTTACTGCCTGCACCTGGGTAGTCCGTGCTCCCTGACCAATGCTCTGTGATGCCATCGGCCCTTAGTGCTTATTTTCTAAACCATGGATGAAAAGCAGTGACATTTTAATGCTCTTTTGTAAGATTGAGATTGCAATTTATATGTAACGGTCTGTGATTTTACTGGCCATCTTCAAATGGCAGGAACCTCAGGCCATCGATTTGGACACTTCCTGATGCACAGAGCACTGGAAATACGCCTACCTGTGTACCTTGGTGGAGGGTGCAGCAAGGAGGAGCACGGAGTTAAAATCGCTTTTTAAATAATAACTGAGTGTATCGATCAAACCCCAGCTGCTTCTGTTTGCATTGCTCGGTGCAGGTGTGACATCTTTAAAATTGGGGGGAATTCTCTGAAGGTGTTACTTTGCATCATAGACATCTTAATTCATCTTCATAAATACTTAATTCAGTAGTTGCTGCACGCTCGCTCTGCCTGCTGCCCGGTGTAAGTGTTGGGCTCTGAAGAAGGGTGGTGAGGGTGGGCTGGGAAGGTGAAGGCGCCTCTTCCCGTGGAGGTGACCCCCAAAGGTGTTCTGCTCTCATCCCCACTTTAGAGCCTAGAAGGCAAGGTGGGATTTGACAGACAGCACAGAGGAGATGGACGCAGTTCTTTAGACACATGCCCTCAAACCGTGTATGTGCTGCCATCAGGGAAAGGTGGTGTCTTGGGCAAGGTTTCCTAGAGGCAGCACCGGTGGCAGATTCTTGTGAGAGTGATTTTTGAGAGTGTGTATGCTTCAGGTAAGACTTGTGAGGGAGGGAGGGAGGCAGAATAAGCAGGAGGAAGCCAGTGAGGTGGTGTCTCAGGTAAAGTCTAGCCTTGGCTTGTTGTACAGGTGCTAATCAGAGAGCGACAGGCTCCGGTAGCTGTATTTAGGGGGGCAGGTGTCAGCTGAGGGTTATTCCCCAGAGAAGGGGACAGCTATGAGCTTTCAGCAACTGACACTCATGGCAGCTGGGTTCGCCGGCTGACAGAGGGGCTGTGAGTATTTGGGCACCACAGTCCTGCAGGTATATGTAGATGAGACCCTCCCAAGGCGGAGGGCAGGAGAGAAGGCTGGGGGGCTGAGACCATACAGAGTGCCAGGCTAAGGAGCATGGAATTCATCCCACAGCTAATAGGTCGACAGTTGTTTTTTAACAGTAATACCTGCACTAATTGGCTAGAGCTGCTGTAATAAAGAACCACAGACTGAGGGGCTAAAACAAAATTTATTCTCTCACAATTTTGGGGGGTTAGAAGTCTGAGATCAAGGTGTTGACAGTGCTGGCTTCCTCTGAGGCCTCTCTCCTTGGCTTGCAGATGGCTGCCTTCTCCCCATGTCTTTACATGGTCTTTTCTCTGTGTGTCTGTGTCCTAATCTCGTCTTCTTATATGGACATCAGTCATATTGGATTAGGGCCCAATCTAATGACGTCATTTTAAGCTTCTTATGTCTTAAAGACCCTATTTCCAAATACAGTTACATTCTGTGATACTGGGGGTTAGGGCTTCAACATAAGAATTTTGAGGGGGGCAGGTCAGAGTTCAGCTGGTGACACTTAATATAAGAGGCTTTAATGTAAGAGGCTATTTAGAAGAAGCATCAAGACTTACAAAGCAGCACAGTATAGTGGTTAGGGGGGGAGCTCAGAGCTAAACCCCTCTGGTTCAAGTCCCAGCTCTGCCACTTATTAACTGTGGGACCTTAGACAAGGGGTTTAATCTTCCTAAGCCTCACTCCTAATTAGTGTTGACTTAAGAGAAAAGGCTTTGGGGTAAGGGATGAGGAAAGCAAGCAGGTGTGAAATGTCACAGTGAAGCCGGGTGGTGATATCCCTGACAGAAATCAGAACTTCAAGAAAGAGCCATTTGGAAGGCAGAGATGATAGGTCTTTCGAGCATCACTGACTTTGAAGTGATAGAGGAAAATTCAAGTAAATGTGTTCAGAAGCTAGGTGAAAATTATTATTTTTTTTTAAAGAAATTTTCATTGGAGAACAGCGTGCTTTTCCAGGACCCATCAGCTCCAAGTTAAGCAGTTGTCTTCAATCTGTTGGGTTGTCAGAAAAGTCATGATGCATTTTTGCAATGAAAAACACAGAAAAAAATACGTCATGACTTTTCTGACAACCCAGTAGTTGTGGAGGGCACAGCTCACTGGCCCATGCGGGAATCGAACCGGCAACCTTGGTGTTATGAGCCTGCATTCTAACCACCTGAGCTAACCAGCCACCCCAAAAATTATTTTTAAGTATAGGCTAAGTTAGTCTCTGACCTCTGGAAACTCACATAAGAAGGGAACAGGTTTTTCTTGGGTTTTATCTACCTCCCTGCCAAGTCCCACTAACTGTGCAGTTAGGGGAAGAGGTGATGGTGAGGAATCAGGTTTTGCTTTTGACCAAGGGAGAGAACTGCCATCAAAATGCAGAGGCCGTTTTACAGCTGAGCTACCACATATTCTCACAACATGTCCAGGATATTTCAGAATATAAACCACAGACGTGCTCAGCCCCGGCCCCCAGGTTGCTCTGCGCGTCTCTCTTCAGGGTTCTTTATGCCTGGGCACCCACCTCTTTTGGGAGGGAGCTTCTTTAATTCTTGTCAACATCATTAGTGTTATCCTGCCACTGTCATGGTTCTGTTTTTAGGTCACAGTCGTGGTAAGTGAGGGTTCTCGACCCAGAAGTAATCATCAGTGTTGAAATTTTTGTTGAGTGCCTGGCCTGGGAAAATGCTCCAGTTTACTTTTCTTCTGCTTACTAAGGGCCTGGATCCTGGCCCCGTGTTTTCAGACATTGTCCAAGATGAACAGAGAGGAGATGTTAATCGATTACATCTTGAGCAGACTTGACAGATGATGCATTGATGGCCAGCATCCAGGATGTGGTGATTACGCTACAGGAGGCTAGAGACTAACCCCGTGTTTCTGCGCCTCGGTGTCTCCCCTGAACACGAGGCTGCTTCCCTGTAAGCACTAGCCGTCCCAGTCCTTCCAAACCTTGGAAACTAGCTCCTGTTGCAGAGACGTTGGGGTCATCCATCACCATCCGGGCTAGATCGGGTTAGGAGCCCAGTGCCTATAGCACAGTTCTCATGTAGTGTGTGCCATTGACCGTCACCAGATATCCTCGTGCTTTGCCTCTGAGATTCCCTTGCTGTTTCTTTGCCAACCAGAAAAAGGTTGTCATTGTTTTTGTTAGTCTGCAGAAAAGATTCTCATATGAGATTTAAAAAAATAGGTCTTTTGACACCAACAGCATAATTAAAATTAAGCTGTGTGGATTTTATATTTTAAAAATTCACTTGTATGTGTGTGTGTGTGTGTGTGTGTGTGTGTGTATAAATGCTAAATTAAACAGCATACATGACAAGCAGTATGCTACGCCCATTACATGTATTATCTCAATTCTGACAGCTATCATGTGTTGGTGCTGTTCTCACCCCCATTTTATTCCCATGTTATAGATGAGGCACAGAGAAGTTCAGTGATTTACCCAGAGATACACAGCTAGTAAGAGGTACAGGGGTTCCCCCTTACCTGTGGTTTCACTTTCTGTGGTTTTAGTTACCCGCAGTTAACCATGTGGTCAACTGTGGTCCAAAAGTGGAGGACTCCTGAAATAAACAACTCATCAGTTTTCATTTGCTCACCTTCTGTGTAGCCTGATGAAATCTCTTGGTGTCCTGCACTCCCTGCCGGGGATGTGAACCATCCCTTTGTCCAGTGTATCCACGTTGTAGACGCTACCTGCCCTTTAGTTCCTTAGTACCTATCTCGGTCATCAGATTGGCTATCAGATATTTTGAGAGAGAGAGAGAGAGAGAGAGAGAGAGAGACCACGTTCAACTTAACGTTTATTACAGTATGTTGTTACAGTTGTCATGTTTTATTATTAGTTATTGTTAGTGTCCTACTGTGCCGAATTTGTAAGTTAAACTTGATTATAGGCATGTATATATAGGAAAAAACATAGTGTATATAGACTTCAGTACTATCGTGGTTTCTGGCAGCTACTGGGGGTCTTGGAATGTATCCCCGTATATAAGTGGGACTGCTGCATAGCCAGGGGTGCATCTACACTGTCCCGAGTCCCGAGCCCATAACTCCTGGTCAGTGGTAGCATGGTTAGTGATTTGTATGCACTAATTCATTTAATCCTCAGTGCAACCCTGTGCAAGAGGTACTGTCCATATGGCTCTGTTCAGAGGAGGAAACTGAGGCACAGGTGTTTAAATTACTTTCTCTGAGCTAGAATTTTACCCGGGCACCTGGCTCCCAAGCCTTCATGTCTCACTATGCATCTAGTCTTTCAGAACTCCGGGTTAGTGCTGAGTGTCTCAAAGAAGAATACAAGTTGACTGATGCTAGTAGATGTAAACATGGGCATGAGCTCGTCCCCTGTGTACACTGGGGCTGCTGCTGGCTTTGGGGCTGCTGCTGGCTTTGGGGAGGGGGAGGTGTGCACCAAGAATAATCTCTGAGGTAACCTCCACCCTTTCACACTTGCTCCCGTTTCAGACCTCGCCTCCTCCCACGACTACCCAGTCCCCTGAAAGCACCATGGATACCTCTCTGAAGAAGAAGCAAGCCATCCTGGATCTTTATATCCCTCCCCCGCCAGCTGTTCCCTACTCTCCCCGGTATGTCAGTGTCCGTTTTCGTGGTGTGTCTGTCTCCTGAGTCCTTGGAGATGCTAAGGGTGGTGTGAAGACCACGAGGAGCTCGAGAGGAAACGTGGCTGAATTCCAGTGTCACAGGGTTGAGTCTTGAAATGGCTGTTCAGAGGTGTGATCCTGGAGTTGGGTGCCGGAGTGGGAGGCATGGATGAAGGCAGTCCATAGCACAGACTTCCAGCTGTAGGATTCCTAAGTTCTGGGCACGTAATAGGCGGCATGGTGCCTGTAGCTCACAATACTGTATTTTTGTATTTGAAAGTTGCTGAGAGAGTAGATCTTAAAAGTTCTCATCACAAGAAAAAAAGAATTTGTAACTATGTGAGGTGATGGATGTGGACTTATTGGGAGTGATCATTTCGCAATATATCTATCTATCTAAAATCATTATGTTGTACATCTTAAACTAATGTCAATTGCATCTCAATGAAATGGGGAAAAAGCGTGATCCTTTAGGGCAGCGGTTCTCAACCTTCCTAATGCCGCGACCCCTTAATACAGTTCCTCAGGTTGTGGTGACCCCCAACCATAAAATTATTTTCGTTGCAACACTATAACTGTAATTTTGCTACTGTTATGACTCGTAATGTAAATATCTTTTTGTTTTCCGATGGTCTTAGGCAACCCCTGTGAAAGGGTCGTTCGACTCCCAAAGGGGTCACGACCCACAGGTTGAGAACCGCTGCTTTAGGGGGAAGTGTAGAAACAGATCCAGGTTTCCTGGGTCCTGAAGCTTTACAGTTTGGTGAGGAAGGGGCTCTTTATGAAAGCAAGTGCTCTTGGGAAATTGTTTTAGCTCCTCCCTGGACATTGCAAGAGGCTGTTTGGTGGTCCTTGAAGTTGAAGTTTCATGAACTACATGGTAAATTCCTCTCTGGGGAGGAGATTAACTGAAGTTATAGCTTTATTTTGCTGAAGGACATGTGTTCTTTATAACACTTAAAAAAACAACAACATGTGAATGTAGGTGTGGGGGCACTATATTTGCACATGCGTGTGTATTTATGTGTATGTGTGTCTATTATAAATTCTTGCAGATCGTTGCTTTCTTAATGGCTATCTGAAATGTTATATGATATAATGAGGATGGTTGTACCAAACGTTATGCAGGGGATGGTTTAGGTATGAAATAGAGGTTTATTTATATCAACTTACATATTTACTGATGCTGGTAAAACTAGAGAATCTGGCTCATTTATTCAACATGAATTTATTTAGCGTTGGGCTGGGTTACACAAAACAGATGGAGTTTTTGTCCCCAGAGAACTGCCAGTGTCTTAGTCAACTGGTCAAGAATAAATTGAGAAATATGTAATTATGCTATACTATTTCATAAGACAAAGTTCAGGCAGAACTTAGAGTGGTATTTTACTTTATAGTGGAGTTTTTCATTTGTTTGTTTGTTGTTGTTGTAAGCTGAACAGTTTGCTTCTAATGTGTTTCTTCTCTGGGCACAAAGAAGAATTAAGGTCATTTTGCTCTTCTTTGAGTCTTGGTTTGCCCAGAACTTATCACAGCATGTAGAGCAGTTACCTTAGGTGGTCAGGGCCATTCTGGTTGCTAGACAGGACTCTTCCCTGAAGTCACAGACCAGGGTCATGTGGCCATGGGATCTTAAGTGTGTTTAAAGTGATAGGTAGTTGCCTTTGCATATGGAAAAGACAGTTTCACCAATGACCAGTGTGGGGGTTTTTCTATCAGAAGCTGTAGTGGGACATCCTCCCCAACCCCCAACCCTGAATGTTCTTATCTGGGTCTCAGTGATGGGTCACAGAAGCAGTGGTTAAAAAAAAAAAAAAAGGATAATGTCCATAGCAAAGGAGACGCGAGACTGGGGCTTTTAAACTATTTGGGGGAGACACACACACACACACACACACACACATTAATGAAGGATATTTTCTGAGGAATGAAAAATGCAAATGGTTACAGAGCATGCGTGGTGAGGTGGTGAGCCATGAAAGTTTTGTGAATGGGGAAGGTGTATGCCAGGTTTAAGCGTGTAGCGCGGGCAGCTGGCTCTCTGGGAACACCACACAGACCAGGCTGATCTTCCAATTGTTTTTGCACCCAGGTGACTCTGTGTCCTGTTTAGTAGTTTTTACAGTGATCATCTCATGGAATTTATTAGATGCAAAAAAATGTAACCAATTGGTAACTGGGACTCAACTGAAATTAATTTTAACTTTTTATTATAGACTGACAGTTAGAAAGAATTAAGGTGGAATGGATGACCCGACTCGACTTCTGCCAGTTTCTGTACTTAGTGCAGGAAATAGACACTCCCCACTAGGGACTATAAAGTCCCCTTTGTCTTTTTTGACAATTTTCAAATCTAAGAACTCCATTACACATCGAGTGTCATCTTTGCTGGACCTTGGCAAAGATGCTCCTCTGGGCATGGGAAAAGTGTCCGACAGATCACACCTTCACTTGTGATTCCTGTAGTAAACAGGCAAATGATGGATAGGACAGCTGTACTGGGAAACCAGGGCTGTCTTTGAAAGGCATATTAGTACCATTTTAAAACATGAAAATTGTTTCATTTTCCCTTATTTAGTCAGATTGTGGTATTTGCTCTCATTTAACAGGATCTCTCTATATTTGACGGGCAACTGGAATTGAGAAAGTAATGCTTTTTCCTGCAGTGGAAAAGGGGATGTACGTTTTCTTATGTATGTCTCCTATAATTCTTCGGTGGGAGAGGATCTCTGTAAGCTACTTCATTATTGCCTACTGTCTTCCAGGGATGAGGACTGGAGTTCTGTTTTTGGAGGACTCAGCAAGTGTACAAAACCATTTCCTGGTCCTAAGGGTTCGGAGTCCCCAAATTCCTTTTTGGACCAGGAAAGTCGAAGACGGAGATTTACCATTGCCGACTCGGATCAGTTGCCTGGCTATTCAGTGGAAACCAGTGTTCTGCCCACAAAAATGAGGCAGAAAACCCCATCTTACGGTGTGTTTCCGAGTGTTTGTTTTGCTCTGCTGTTTGCTGTTCTTCTCTTCCCCACCCCCTTCCTTATTTGGAACCGTTGCATGAATTTGGCAGACTCCAAGGGTAATCCGAGGAAAACATAAACCTCAATGAAATTCTAAGTATGAGACCTTGATTCATCTCTCTAAAGCAGAGCCTTGTTGAGTCATTGCTTTGCCTGGCACCAAAGCCCAGTGGGTGAGATCATATTACAGTTTTAGCTTTCGGAGCCTGGGTTTTAACTTTGGAGTGGCTTTGCTCTGTACACCCACAGACTCAAGTTCAGCACGCCCCTGTCCTGATTGCTTGCTACGGAAATACGATGCTTTAAAATACTTTCCTTATTTTAAAATATGTTACTGCTTCTGCTTAAGTGAGTGTGATATTGTGGGGGTGGTGGTGTATGTTACAAATAAAGGGAAGGATTCTCTTAAGTCCCCAAACTCATCCTCTGTCACTCTTTTTCCCCTCCTCCTGAAGGCAAGCCCCGGCCTTTGTCCATGCCTGCGGATGGGAGCTGGATGGGGATCGTGGACCCTTTTGCCAGACCTCGAGGTCATGGGAAGAAAGGTAAGTTTAAGCAAGTAGCATCAAATAAGGAGTCGGAAGAGCCCGACTCTAGTATTAGCCCTAGTATTATTTATGAATAATAAAGGTATGATAACTGGATAGAGGACTTAGCTTTCTGAGTCCCATCTTTTCATCTGTAAAATCAGGACGGCTGAAGATCTCTCGGATCCTACTTATTTTTGGAGTGGCAGGATTATGCAATCCTAGTTAGTGATTGTAAATCTCCTAATTTAGTAATGTGTGCTTTGAAAAGGCCATAGACAGTAACAGCCCAATTTCTAAACAAGTAGAAAGAAATTATTCATGAAACCATCTCATCCTAAATTTTGTGACTGTTATTGTTGGAGTCTGTTTGATTTTTCAGGACCAGATATGGATTTTTTTCCCCCTTCCAAAATCCTTGTTGTATTAGAGAGTAATTACTGTTGGAAAAGAAATTTGTGTTTAATTCACCCTGGAATCATTTACTGGTTATTACACTGGTGTTGAGGGAAATGTTTATAAATATTATTATTTTTTTTGCCTATTTATTATCGACACTGGCAGGGCATTATAACTTTGCTTTTGCAGTGCTGAAACAAAGCAGGCGAAAAGTTCAAGTTCAGCAGGCCTCAGATAGTAAAAGGAAGAAGAAAAACAGTCTGGAAGCCCTACTGCCAAAGGGATCAACCCTGACATCTCCCTGGGACTTGGTCAATGAAGTTTGTCCCCCAAGTACCCATATCACCTGGACTGTGCTAAGGTGGCAAAGGGAGAAGACACATGTCTAAGGTCCAAGATACCTGTAGTTGACATGTGAAAATCTGTGGAGCAGTCAGCAGGTGGCAGGACTGTCCTTTGCTTAGATCCAGAAATGTCAACATCTTCACTGCCATTCCTTTAGCCTTTTAAGCCCGGATTTAGCCTTTTATTTCTTTTACGTATTGAGAGATGGGGTAGGGTGGGGAGTATGAAATCAGTAAATGGAAACATATTTGAACCCCTGTCCCACTTTCCACATTTTTCTTGTATGATCATTTTAGAATGAAAAAGGTGTCTGCACAATGGGCACTTCAACAATAACAGCTTTTTGGAGACATAACCCACACACCATAAAAACTCACCCTGTTAAAGTGTATAATTGAGTGGTTTTCGTATATTCATAGAGTTGCGTGTCTATCACCACGATCTAATTCTAGAGCATTTTATCATCTCAGAAAGAAATCCCGACCTGTAAGCTGCCACCACACATTCCTTCCTACCCCAACCCCTGGCAACCACTAATCTACTTTCTGTCTCTATGGATTGGCTTATTTTGGACATTTCATATAAATATGTGGCTTTCTGACAATGGGCCCTTTTTGAAAGTATCTTTTCCCCTTTGATTACAAAAGCAAAACAAGTACGTTGAAAAACATGTAGAAGGTATGAGAAAATAAAACTCAACTGTTATTCTGTGTCCCCAACCTAGAAATAATCACTCTGAATGTTTTGTGTATCTTCTTCCTACATATACATATCATACACTTAGAAAAAAATGTGCAGAATGGAAGAAATGGATGGTCAGTAAAACTACGTAAGGTGAATACTATCTAGTACATTTTTTTAAATAGTTGCATTAGTGATCCGTCTTCTGGGGATAGCTCCTGTTTATTCAGTCTGCTATTGTTGGGCATTTCGGTTATTTCTGTTTTTTTCCCTCCAATTGTAAATAATGCTTCAATAAGCACTCTTGTACATAGATCTTTGTACATTTTTAGGAGTGGAATTTCTGGGTGAAATGAATGCTATATGTTGCCAAAGTGATGTGCATTGTAGGTTTCTATTCAGTTTTGTAAACACCCCCAGCCCCATCCCAGGGGGTCTACTGGCGTCCAGGGTAGGGTCATTCTTCTTTGTTTGGAAATGTCCCAAGCATTGCAGAACATTAAAGTTTTTGGACCCCGTCCATTAAAGGTGAATAGTGCCTGCCCTTTCGTTCAGGGTGACAACTGAAGGCACCCCCACCTTTCTAAATGGTCCTCAGGGACATTCCAGGATAAGAACCAGTGTGTTAGCAGCATGCACTACAACGTGGCAGGCACTGAGAGAGGAGAGATGGGAAAGGAGTGATGGAATTATACAGCTCTCTCTCTTTGTGTTTTGCTTCCAAGTGAAATGATGGAAATTCTTACAGTGGTAAAGAAGGGCGGGCTCTGTGGCTCTGCCCTGCCTTGTGTCACCTCTCAGGTGCGAAGGCAGCCTGAAGTATGATGGCCTTCTTCCATTTCTGGTTTGCTAAACACCCAGCGGGGTGGGCCTGGCCATCTGCAAGGCTTTGTATAATATCCCATCCCCTGGAGGAGGGGAGGGGACGGCGCCCACTTCCAGAGGGCGTCGGAGGCCTGGGCAGGTAGCGGCCCGCTGAACAGTGCCACGCGGCGGATGGTTATTTTAACGGACTTGTGCACTTTGTCTGAAAACAGGTGAGGATGCTCTTTGCCGGTATTTCAGCAATGAACGGATCCCTCCGACCATCGAGGAAAGCCCCTCTCCCCCGTACCGCTTCTCGAGGCCCACAACGGAGAGGCAGCTGGTCCGGGGCGCAGACTACATCCGAGGGAGCCGGTGCTATCTCAGCTCAGATCTCCATAGCAGTGCCACCATCCCATTCCAGGAGGAAGGGACCAAAAAGAAAGCCGTGTCCTCGGGGGCCAAGTCCTCTTCCACAGAACCGAACCTGCTGATCAGCTGGTTTGCTCGCCTGAGACTGTTGACTCAGTGAGGCCTGCCTCCTGGAGACCCCCTCACTGTCTCCTGCGCCCAAGTGCCTTGCTTCCTCAGTGGACTACCTGTTGTCATTTGCATCCACAGTATTATGTAGAGACCATATGCAAATGCTTTAAAAAATTTTTTTTTTGGAGAATTGTGTGCTGCCTCTCTCAGAATTTTGAATTAATTGGGTGGGAACAAATCTAAAGAGTCCTAACTGCTGGCTTGTGGAGGCCGAAGGAAAGACATGGGTAGGGTCTGTCTTTTCTTGTTTCCTTAGAGTGGGGACATAGAACCACACTCTACCAACTGGAGCCGCTGCCAAGGCTTACGGTCACGAGGAGGAACTGGGGTATTGTTCGTTTTGGGGGCGGGATCGAATTGGTGGCCATTGCCACACAGATGTGTTGGTTTGCGGTCCAACTTCTTCACTTATAAAAACCAGTGGAGAAGCATTTGGTTTTGATTTTTCAAGCCACACCCCACATTTGCAAGTGTAGCAGCTTTGACTTTGAAAGAACGTGTGGAAGTGTCTGCCTCTCAGAGCACAGGTGTGAGGCCTGTGACACTGGGTACATTCCCTTTTCATAACAACCTCGGTACAGGTCAGTTAATTCAGAAACACACAAACACGCTGAGATCGGGCTCATGACACACAAAGAAGTTGATTGTTTTGAGGGGTGTTGTTGTTGTTGTTGTTGTATGTTATTGTCTTCAAAGGAGAAGAAGCCGTAAGATTTGCTGGCAGCCAAAGTATCATTCAGAAAAGTGAAGCAATAAGGCTTAGGTTGACGAGAGATACATCAGTTTGCATATTGGCCTATTCAATGTCTAGCTTCCAGAACAGAATGGACAGGTTCTTCCAAATTGTACACATTTTGCTCATTAGAAATATCTTGGGATGTCTCACGGTCACAACTTTTCAACTAGCATCAGGTATTTTGGAAAAGCGTGCCTGGATCTATTAACTCTTGTTTAAACTGAATGTATGATATTTTGTTAGAATGGAAAAGTACTATCGCGTTAATTTAAGTGTTTTAAATACAGTTGTATATTTTTCCTACTCTTAGTCACATGTAATTGAAATATTTCTGTTTTGCATCATAACAGAAAGCCAACGAAAAAGAGTGTTCAAGGTGTTTTCAGATTTACGAGTGACCACCATGGCTGGTGCCACCCTGAGTGCTATTGTTAAAAACAAACTAAACCCACGCATTTTGGGATTTTATGGATTAGAAATGGGAGTGTCCAGGAAGCGTGTGTAAAGTAACATTACATTTGGGAAATTTTCTGAGGCACGTCCCTAGGCAGAGCTTGGTACTCCCTATTCAAAAGCATACCCCATTTCTCCCCCCTGCCCATACCACTGGAATTGTTTACTTGGCTGATCTTCCAGAAATTCAACACATTGGAGATTCCTGGAGTTAGTAAATATCTATCTTCCCTTTAAAATGCTCCTGATGGGCTTAAGGGGACAGGTATTTGTATGATTGAATTCAGCCAGGCTGGCATGTTGTCCACCTGTAAGGAAATTGCAGGGAGAGTATGGATGTGTCGTGGGGAATGGAAAGGAGTTTGGCGAAGCAAGGGCAGAAGAGGCCGGGACGTGTGATTCATCAGGTGCTTAACAACACAATGGAAGGGCCAAGCATGGGGGCCGGGAGGTCTGCTAATAGGGCCCTGGCGACTAGGAGGCAGCTGTGGCAAAGGACCCAGCTCCTGCCCGTTTCACTGTTAGCTGGAGCTGGCCTGACGCCCAGAAAGTGGGGCGGCAGCACTTCCTGTCACTCCCTGGATTTAGGGGAGGACTCTAAGTGCTCTAGTTGGGCTGAGTAGTAAGTAAAATAGCTTTGGAGGTCTTAGCTGGAGATTAACTCCTTTTCTGTGGAGAAAATGCCACTTGTGATCCAATGACCAGCCTGAAAATGAGTTTTCAGAGATCAGTCTTAACGATAGGCAGTGCCCAATTTAAATTACTCTATCAGATGGGTGTTTTTCGGACTGTTCCCTGAAGCCCTAAGGGAAGGCCGGAAACGTTCCCGGGTTCCCTGCCTTCAGTCAGCCTCCACAGCTTCATGTTTATTTTTATTTGGGGTTTTCTCCTGAATTGTGTTTGAGAAATAGATTGCTTCTTTAAAAAAAAGTTTATGTGTATCTCTACTGCTGAGATATAGAAATAATAACTTAATACTTGTTTCTTAGAAACTGATGGAAAACGCTTGCCTCAGTAGTAACCCAGGTTTAATGGAGGACATGTGTTAACATATGAAGATGCGGAATGACACTTTTTGACATGATACTTCAAAACTGTGATTTTTTTAAAACTACTGCCAGACCCAATTCAACACACGCCCCTTTTTATAATAAGGATTTTAAAATGCTACCACAGTCATTAAGTGAAAATCAAGGATGGTAAAACCTACCTTTGCACACCAACGTGTCACCCCCATTTACTATTCCAAAATGAAATTAATAGGAATTATAACTGCCCTCTGTACACATACGTCAATTTAATGTCCTAATGGAAGTATAAACATATAAATATATAAATATTTTCTAATGAACTAATTATTTTGATATGTAAATGCTCTAGCATGATTATATCACAAGATGTGGTGAAATAATGAAACGAGGCTCATTCTTGTATGTATATATAAAATCACCACAGACATGGCAGCTACAAAGACAGAACAGTAGAGGCCTGTTATGTTGGCATCTCAATGCCAAGAACAGACCTACGTCAGCAATATGATTTTCTAAAATGTGGCCAATTCTAGACAAAACAGAAATCTAATAGCGACACACATAGAGTGCTTGCTGGGTGCCTGGCATCATTCTAAATATTTAACAGCTTCATGAGATGGGTGCCACTGTTGTTCCCATTTTATATGCCAGGAGGTAGCCAAGGGTATGCAGCTGATAACAATAGAGCTGGGATTAAATCTGAAGCAAACTAGCCCTGGTGTCCTTGTGCGTAATCATTGCTGTTCAGGCTTCCCTCAACATACAGAATGCTCTAAAAGCATTCCTGAAAAATTCAACACGTGTTAAAACTGGGCCAAGAATTCCCTGTGTGTTTATAGATAAAATAAGGTCTAGAGCCTCACGTAATTCTAAACTGGGTTTCCCCCTACAGAAGCATTTGGTGGGGCCATTGAAAGTTGTTGATGGGAGACTCCTTTGTTAGGGCTCTAACCCACAGGGTATATGCAATATCCTAGCTCCATCTGTTACCACTTGTGGCCCTCCCAGTCATTGGCACCTTAAAAGCCCTCACGTTTCCAAAACCACCTCTAGGGAGCGGTACCATCCCTTTGAGAACAAATGATTTTTTAAAAATCCTGTTATCGTCATTATGTGTCATTTCAGTCTTCATGCTATGTATTTGTCCATTTTCCACCTGTTTCTCTCTCCTTAGTTCTCTCCCTACCTAACCCGGAAGTTGTAGAATGAGTTTTGTGGGCGTTGTTTTTGTGACTGATTTCCCCTCTGAAAGTCAAGCAGTTGTTGCCTTCTCTGGTCCAAAGACCATGAATATTCAAACACATGGAATAACAAACAAATTTCAGTTTGTGAGCTTTCAGAGAGCCCTGAGACGTATTGACACATAACTTTTGATCCTCTAAAGAGCTTGAGTAAGGAAATCTCTGACATTTGAATATTACGAGCAAAGAATAGCCATCATAACTGAACAAACAAAACAAAAAACAAAAAAGAATAACCATCATGTTGGTTTTTTTTTGCCACCATGGCATGAATGGGATGGCCACAGAGCCCTAATTTGGATGTTTTCACGTAGCGTATCTGTGATTAGTCTTTACAGAAAAGTGATTCCCTTTCTGCCCCCACCCTTGTGAACAGAATCATTGTATAATTTCCTTTGGGATGAGACTACAGCCAGCTGCTTCCTTGGAGAGTATATGGGAGGCGGACACCTTGAAAAGGAATAAGCTACTTTTGGTATGGCCACTTTTGGGCTTGGGCAATGGCACTTGATTTTATTTATTTTTGGAGTTACTCTGCTTGTGTAATTTTTTATACATTCATGCGAATCACTTGGAAGGTGAGTATTTACAAATTTATTGATTAAAACTGGCTTAAAGTGCACACAGAAGCTGACCTTTCTGATGTTTCTTCAAATATGTGAAAGGCCTTGCATGGTGAAGCCTAGTAAGACCATAGGACGTGTTTTGTGATCCCTAACGGGACTTAAATATAGAATTTATAACCTGTAGGATATGGGATTAGAAAAAAATATTCATCTTACTCTAAAATTCACCTTATCATTTTCTGGAAATTTCTCAACTGCTAAGTTTTGCCTTAGGAGTTTTATTTAGTTTTGGACAGAATTATTGCTGGAAGTGTGCTGGTTTGACAAAGATTTGAGAAATGTGAGGTTTAACATACAAGTAAAGTAAAGGAAAAAGATTACAGCAAATTCAGGTTTGCCAGAAGGCTGTTTTTCTCTAGTTTTAGGGATGTGCGGTCTACCCCAAACCATGTGTGAGTGTGTATGTATAGAAGAGAATTTTTTCTAACTACAAAAGCCCTTCTGTAATAATGTCCTGTGGCTTACTGATGAGGAAAGAGGAGAGAGCTCTTGTCCGCAATCAACAAAATAATGTCACTTAGCCAGGAGGCAGTCACACGGTCTTTCAGAACTTTTGGGGCACCTACTCAGCTCGCCTTAGAAATGCACATGGTGTTGGGTTATTAGGAACTAGATCCTGGCTGTAACCTGATCATCCCTAGGCATAATCTGAAATTTTACGGCAATGTTTAAGGAAGCTCATCTTCTGGGTCACTCGACTCCTCATACGCTACAGCTGAGTAAGGTGGGTTTGTATCCTTCGTTGTCTCCTGGGACCCCACCTGCTTCTCTGGAGTCACTGCTCAGAGGAAGACGGTTCACAGCTGGATTGTTTAGGTCAGGCTTGCAGCCGGATATCACACACGCTGTCCTTTACCGCGCCTCTTGTTTCTCTGAAAAGTTGTGAAACTGAACCTGTAGGGAAAAGGAAGATGGAAACCTCAGAGCTGCTTTAAGAAGGGATTCAGCCCTCCTGAAATCCAGGGATCCAGGAATACGGATATTCTCATTTCCTCCCCCCTGCTTCAGAGCATTGTAAGCACGCAAGTGTGGGTGAAGGAATGATTAAAGGAGAGAAAACGGGAAAAAAATCATTTAAGGGATTAATTAGGTAACTATTTTTAGGGTGACAAAGACTGGATTTTAAGATATTCCTTCACCGTTTTGACATATCTTGGTCTGAACATTTTGATTTGTTTTAAACATGAAAGAGCTTTAAAAATGAAATTTAATATAAAGTAGTATTGTCTATCAAGTAAGAAACTGTCCTTTTAATTTTGTGGGTGTCGGGTTCTGTTTTCTTACTCATATGTACCTCTCTGTCATTCCAGCTGAGGCTGTGCTTGGATAAGAGTGGATAGATTTCAGGAATTCGTACTCATTTAGAAGCCTTTGACTTTTGGAAATTGGCTTCAAGTAGTTAGAAGCAGTCGGGGGCTCAGGTTTTGAAGTCAGGTAACCCAGCTGTTCCACTTTACTGCTTACAAGCTCTGCGACTTGAAGTAAGTTACTTATCTCTCTGTTCCCCAGTTATCTATGAAATGGGGATAATAACAGACTCTACTTCGTGGGCTTATGGGGATTAGAGTGGATAATATTTGCAAGGCCCTGAGTGTAATCTAGAGCATGGAACTTAATATTCTAGTAGTAGAGTTTATGGCATCTTAACCTCTAGTAAGTAAGGCCTCTTCAGAACCAGTCAGCAGGGAATTGCTCATTCTTTTGTCTATAACCAGCAAAATATTGCCATTGTCACACCATCAGAAGGCTGCTGTGTAGTTTGTGGGCTGGAAATGCGGTTTTTAGTGGTGCAAATCGGAGCTACCCAGAGGTTTTGGCTGAGTCAGAACTCAGGAAATGATGAAAGCCTATGACTGGACACACTCAGAATAATAGAGTATTATTTTAACATTGACTTGATTTGTCATTAGCATACCTTTTCTCTTTAATTCCCTCCCAATGCTCTTCCACAAAATGATATATGGAAACAAAAGAAATCTAAGCATTTCCCCCATCTCCTAGGTGGCTGAATGATTTGCCTCCCATCCCTGGCTTGAAGTGTTACCCCTAAACTTGCTCCTGTGTTTCATAGCATTAGAAAACAAGGAATGATGCAGCATGGGACCTATTTTGAAACGCCTCAGGAAATAGAACTCTCCCATAAATATAACACTAAGAGACTTTGTGGCCTTGGCAGAAGCTGAAAATAACAGTCCCTGCATGCCTCCCCCAACTAAGGATTTGGTAGGTCCAGGGAAAAATAGGGAGAGAAACTATGGGAGGGATAAAGGGAGCTGGAAAATGGTTGGTAGGTTCGGCTTTCCTTTGGTTAATTGAGTTGTGTCTGACTTCCAACCATCTGGGCTTGAGCAGTGTATCAGCCAGACTGAGACCAACAGAGGCTTAGCTAATGCAGACACCGTAGTCGTGAATGTTGTTTCTGGAAAGACTTTGTGCACAGAGTCTGGTTATGATTTCCCACGAGTCGTGGTTTATTTGTCTGTGCCATGGGAATAGAGTGGAACTGTGACTATACTTTCTGAGGAGAATTCCCCAGCCATTTTCTGGCTTGAGCTCTTGTGTTTGTCTCCCTTCTCTGTTAGGTGGAACCATTTGAATGTGTGGCTATTTGGCCATAAGAAGTAACAACCTACATAATCAGCAGCTTGTATGGTTCAACCTAGTAGATTGCAAATGCCCCGAGGACAGAGATCATATTTTTCTGCACCTTTCTCCTAGCAAAACTCAATTCTGTTCTGTGCTGTGTCACAGTTGGATTTTGTGCTAGTTGTCACCCTCCCTGGATTGCTCACCCCCGCTTCCCTGAACACTGAATGATAACCCTCAAATTTGATTTATTCATCTGTTGATTTCCTAGGAACTAATCTGTTTAATTCCTAGGAAAAAGGGAGGACAAACAGGCTGGATTGATTGAATTGGCATTTTATTATTTGTCCTCATGGCAGTGCCAGGCGTAGACAATGGCTGGCCATGGGTGTTCAGATCAGATTAGCAATTAAAGCAAAACAAAACAAAACAGCAAACAAACCAAAAAAAACCCAAAACAAAACAAAAAAACCCAAGAACTAGACATTGAATTTTGGAGCAGAAAATAACTAAACCAAGACCTTTCAAGATTTGTTTCTCCTTTAGCTCTTAGGACATTTAAATGAGTGAAAAAACATTTAAGCGAACCTTGTTTAGAGGACTGTCTTTTACTTGGACGTGTCACCTTTTCAGATTTCTCCCTAATGAAGGAAGGCCACTGAAGCCTCCTTAGAGTGTATTCTATTCAATGGTGTTAATTGAATTATACTCTTTAGACAGCATAAAATACTGTCTTATGGTGCAAGATCTGGTTTGTTTGTTAGTTTTAACTAGCAACTAGTTACTTTTAGCTAATGCTCTTCCTTAACTTCTTCCTTAGCACTTAGTTCTGGATTTTTAAATCCCGAGGATGAACTCATCCTTGTAGGTCCTGTCACTGAGGTTACTCCCAAGGTCATCCTTATGAGGCTCTCCTTGACCCTCCTCTGGACAAAATTAATTGATGTTTCCTGTTATTTTTATAGCATTGACTCATCCTGTTAGTTAGATGTTTGGCTCTTCAGCTTGGATTAAGAACCTTTCTGTATAACTCACATGGTAGGTAGAGCCAATATTACTGAAGGAGCTAGATGGTAGAATCAGTGACCGTGCAGTCAGAAAAAAGTTAGAAAAAATATTAAAATTTTCTGTGCAAAAAGTTTTTATATTAAGGTGTTTTTTTGTTTTGTTTTGTTATTTCAGACTACTACCTCTAGAATTTCATTACATTGGTTCTCATTCTAGAGAAAAAATTATACCAGGTGTCAGAAGTCAATCATATTTATAGGAAGAATAAACCTTGGCCGTCAACAACAGCTTCTCTGGTTACAGGATTACAGTAACTGCTGAGAATGTAAGCCCTTTCAGAAGTCTACAAAGGACTCATTTAAAACTCATACAGGCAGTTTCAAGTTAGGCATTGGAAAATTCATAATGGGGAGGCGAGCAAAAGAAAGTTTCTCTAAATTTAGGCAAGATGGAGAACCAGTTCAGTTGTATGATGTTTGGTTGAAGGAGAGTAATTCGGGCCCGAGAAAACCAAGTGTATAAATACTCAGGGTGTTGACTAGATAGTAAAATATTGCTAAGAACCTTCATCCCAAGGGGTTGAGTGATGGAACCACTGAGAATATTGTTGCTGTGTTTGGAGACAACAAACAACGCTGCTGATACTGCCTGAGACATGAGAGTCGCGTTTTAAAATCATGCTGTCCTTCGGCCGTTGTCCTGTGGGTTTCTACTGGGTTGATGTATGAGAGCAAGTAGGAATCATGCTCCCCCAGGCACCTGCACTCCAAACAGATGACAAGTAGCAGGAGACAGTCAACTACGATGCCATTCAACAAAGAAACAAAAGACTAAAAGGAAGAAATGTCAGATGTTTAAATAAAGAAACTCCTTTGCAAACTGCAGTTAATGATTACAATTACTGGACTTCCTTATGGTTGCTTTTCCCCGATGAATACATCTGGGTACTTTTATCAAAAGCACTCTTGTAGAATTAACTAAAAATGCCAGATATGCTTACATGGGAAACGGGATTGAATTCTAAGAAAAACATGTGGTGCACACCAATGACAATATTCTGCTTTTGTCTTTTCTCCTTGCATGGGGAGCACGCGTCCTCAGCACCCCAGGAAATCCTGCTCTGTGTGCTTTTCTTCCTCTTTCCCTTCTTCACCTTTACTCTCTGACTTTTGGCCTCTTGCTCTGCTCTTTTGCCTTTGGGTTTTCCTGATGCAGCTCAAACCACAGTCACCCCTGCTCCCCAGACTTGCTCTCTGTGCACTGTCCATCTCCCATCCTATGGTTCTTGTGATGGGAGAAAGCCCAGTGCATTTATTTGGCAATTGGAGGAATAAGCAACAAATAGTCCAGCCCATACAACTTTATATATGTAGGCTCTCAGTGGGCTCTTCTTTCAGACAGCGTGGGGAGATGAAAACACTCTTGGCAAGGAGGCTAAGAACAGAGTTGGGTGGTTATCTGACGGCTTTTCTGAAGTTCAGGAAGGAACAGCTGTCCCTTTGTTGAGCCTTTCTGCCGCTTCTTTGGTTTCCGTTTCATTGCTTTCTGCTCCTTTATTTTCTCTTTCCTTCCATTTTCTTTGCGTTTATTCTGTTATTTATTTATTGTGTTAGATTTCTTGTATTTAGGCTCATGCTATAACAATGCCAATATCTTAGTGACGCAACACACTAAGAGTTGACATTTTCCTCATGCAAAGTCTACTGCGGATGTTCCAGGTTGGGCAGTGCTCCATGATAGTCCTCCTCCAGCTAGTGACTCAGGGACTCAGGCCACTCCTATCTTATGGTTTCTCCAACTTGGGGCTTCAAGCTTACCCTGGCATTATTCTTCTGGTAGAATGGGATGTGGGACAAGGAAAAGTGAAACTGCATCAACAACTTGGCCTAGAAATAACAATCATGGCCACCTTAACTGCAAGAGAGTTTGGGAAAGGAATAGTGGTGAGGACTAACGGTCTCCGCCATGTTTCTTAAGTCAGGTACTTAGCTCAATAATATACAACTTTTCTAATATTAACACTTAAGACTAAATTTCCCTCAATACATTACATTTCACGACATTTTGATAATGTATTAGTAGTATTTTCATTATTATTCAGTCCAACTAATTTTTAATTTTCATTATGATTTATTCTTGGTCCATGCATCATTTTGAAGTTTATGTATTTTTATGACATTGGGATGGGGAAGAATTTCTCACACCAGACAGTTAAAGGGCCAACTATGAAAGAAAATATTGATAAATTCAACTAAAGTTAATAACGTCTGTTCATTAAAAGACACTAAGGAAAAGGCTACAAATTGAGAGTAGATAAATCCTAGGAGTAGCACCAAGAAAATATAAATAATTCTTACAAATTGGCTAGAGAAAGACAAATCAATGCAAAAATGGGCAAAAAGCATTTTACAAAAGGGAGCGCAAATGGTCAATATGCATATGAAAAGATACTCATTAGTCATCCTGGAAATCTGAATAAAAATCACAGAGAGGGCCGGCCAAGTGGCACGTTGGTTAAGAGCTGGCTTGGGACGCCAGAAGGCCCCAGTTCGGATCCCACATATTAGGGCCAGTGACACTGCCCTCTGCAGCTAAGATGCTGAACAACAGCTCAACCTGGAGCTGGGCTGCCTTGAGTCAGCGCGATAGTGTAGGCTGCAGCCCCTGTGGCAGTGGGTTGCCATGGGCTACCGTGTGTAGCCAGCTGCCAGTGTGAGTGGCCAGCAGCCACAGAGTCGCCATCCAGAAGCCGGCGACTGATCTGCCTCGCCCAGGAAGAGTGCAATGATGGTGCCAGCTTGGGCCAGTGAAGCAGCGTCCTCCACAACTAGACTGAAGAACAAAAAGGACAGCAACTTGTCTGTTCCCCTTCCCCAATTCCCCAGCGCTGTTCCCATCCCCCAATTCCCCAATAAAAATCTTCAAAAAAAAATCACAGGGAGATACTCTTCCATACCTAATTGACTGGCAAAAATGAAGTAACTAGAAAATACTAAGAAGGTGTACTAGGAAGATCCGTAGGACCTCATATTCATTGCTGGTGTGAGGTTAAATTAGCATTGAATATTCATAGTAGGCAGTGTCACTCAGCTGCAAACACATCTGCAGTGTAAAAGCCCCACAAGGCTTATGGCCTCTCTCCTGGAGTCTGAGTTTGGGCTCTGGTAGACCTCTGTCTACTGCCAGATGAAATTAACAACAGGGAACCTGCACACCGTCTGCTGTTTCTTTGTTTTTTTTTCTGAGTGTCCCCAACAAATGGTCTCTAGGAGGCCTATTTGTACTGCTTGGTCGTCTGCCTTCGTTTGTACAACACAACCTAATGCCCATAAGTAAAATAATGTTTACATTATGGTTTATTCTTACAATGGAATAATGTGCTGCAAATGCAAATGAATGAATTATAGTCATTCACATCCAAGAGTTGAATTTTATTAGCATAATGTTGAGTGGAAACAATGAAAAAATTCAACATATAGTATAACACTCTTTATAACATTCTAAAACCAGAGAAACTCAAGAAAATATTATTGATACAACATATAATTGAAAAGTGGGGAAAAAAAAGGTACAGTAAACACCAAGTTGGGTATGTCTGGTGGGTTGGAAACAGCATGTGGAAGGAAGGCACCCACAGGTGGCTATATATATGTAATGGATTGTTGTATTAGCCCAATTCTTGCTGGAGTCAAGGATATATTTATTGATGCTTTATTTGGAAGATAAAAACCCAGGGCAACTGGAGTGAGAAAAAAGGGAAATGGGGCAAAAGAAGATGTGAAGCCAAAACAAAGGGTTTTAGGCTGAATTGTGTCCCTCCCCAAATTCATATGTTGAGGTCCTAACCCCCAGTACCTCAGGATGTAACCATATTTGGAGGTAAGGTCTTTAAAGAGGTAATGAGGTCTTTAGGATGGACCCTAATTCAGTATGACTGGTGTCCTTATAAGAGGAAACTTGTCCACAGATATGTGTGTGGACCTATGTGAAGGCACGGGTGAAGATGGCCGTCTACGAACCAAGGAGA